TTATTTGACAAGAATACGAGCCGAGTTTCTTGTCAGTTTTTCTCATATCGAAATTATTCCGAACTTATGGTAGATATAACATATCATAAGATACTGTAATAGACCTACATGAATAAAGATATTTTGAATTTGAATTTAGTTTTATTCATTTTGTGAAAACGGTAGTGTTAAATAGTAAATTTACAATAGAAATAGAAATAATCTTTATTCAAATAAACTATAAGCACATATATTATCACTTTTGAATAGTCACATTATTTTTATTCTACCGCTCATTCGGAATGCAGACTCATCACAAGAAGAATGAGAAAGAAACGTGTGTGTTGCTGTTTTAAATTTACATTATCCAATTATAAATAATGTTAATACAGAAATAATGATTTCTGTAATTATTTTCATTGCAATATAATAGTGCATTATTGGAATAAAAAGAAAAATCGGATATACATCATCTACACATATAAATAAAATTAAAGTGTCTGTTTGTAATTTCCAATTAGCAGCTTTTTCTAACGGTTGGATCAATTTCAAATAAACAGCCTTTTACGGGACTTTTTATACTGACGGGACTTTCACACGCAGTTAAGTAATATTACAAGGAGTAATTGGGGCTATATTTTTTTAAATTCCATTCCACGCCGTTCAATTCGCAGGTAACAGCTAGTTTACCATAACGTGAGTCACTAGTCCAATGTTTATGCACAGAAATGTTATTTTTAAACCACAATTGTGGCAAACAAGCATACGACCCATCTGATGGTAAATGTTACCGTATTAAGCCCATGGCGTCCTCAAAACCAGCTAGGAAGGAGGCATTGGCGCGTGGCAAGTGGGCCTCCCCGTTGCTAGCGTTATGCATCCACGAGTATACGAGCACAGGTGTATCACTCACGCTACGTATAGACAACCGTATAAATATAGCCATTTAAACTTTAACTTGGTACGTAATATTTCTTAGGGTTCCATGGTTTATTCAGATGGCGGGTCCAAAATTAGGCAGAGTAAAACTCCGAGCAGTTCCCGGGACTTGACCCGGGTGTAGGTTTAAGATTCTTGACGACGTACGTCACTCAACTTCACCGCTCGTGTTTTTCTTCCTGCTCAGCCAAATCTGGTAGGAGCCTGCTAGTACAGGTTTAGATACGCGTTTTAGTATATAATTTACTGCAGTTCTACATAGGCCAACATTTTTTAGAAGATTATAGAGAGGTCAAGTTTTTTAGAACATTATAAAAAGATCTCTTTATAATGTTCTAATGTTTATAATGTTCTACCGCGTTTGATTTAACCGCACGCGTTTGTTTGTTAATTAATTTATTAGATCGTAATATTAATTTGTTTTTAGTGCACGGTATTTAGCTATATTTGTTTCCAATGGTATAGTGAGTTCTACCAGTACTATACGTTTAAAAGTTAATAATTGATAATATTAGTATAATCACTATAATTTTATTTGTATTAGAAACAGAAATAATAATTCCAAGTTCACAAATATTTTCGTTTTTAGTTTCTATCACATTTCGAATGCAGATGTAACGAATAGGAATTGTTAGGAAAATCTTCTGGTACTCATTTAAAGATAATATAAATATAGTGTAAGTGTGCGAAATTACATACTCCTTCGATGGCGAAATTTTCGAAAAACTACGATACGATTCTAGGTTATAATATTGAGGCAAAATGGCAGAGAAGATCTTTGTTTGTTAAATCATATTTACTGAGCAAAGCCTATTTACTAAACTTTATTTTCTATTACTCACTAAACGATTACTTGAATGACGAGCGATTACTTGAATGGCAATAGTTGTTCATGCACTGGATTTTCATTTAATCTTAGACATAGACACCTATATAAATAAACATTGTAAATAAACTGGCTTTTAAAAAAAAGTAATTCAATTGAGTTTCCTGCCAGTTCTTCTCAATTGGATCTATATACCGAACTGGACGGTAGGGAAAAAAATTATAATGTAAAAATTTGACGTCCATAAGCGGCTAAAATGTCCTACATGAATAAATATTTTTTGAATTTGAATTTAAATTTGTAGAATGCTAACGCGACTCCGGCAATGACCCTTGGAGTATGTGTGATTTTTAGTGGGAAAAACCCCATATATCCCCTCATCAACCCTCTGCCGGCGGGACGGTATTTTAAAGATTTTTCAATTGCAATAACAAAAGGTGGCTATAACTTAACATCTACGCGCACCATACTAGTATATCAGATACTTTAATTAGCATTTAAATGCGCTATAAACGAAATCAGAAAGTGTAAAGCTCGGACAGATCTCATTACATATATTATAGGAATGAATGTTACTAATGAAATTTTGCCAAACTGAAGAGGAAACGCCACTGCACATCCTATGTGGCTGTAGCCCACTCATGCATAAACGAAATATCTCCTTTGGAAGTTTATACTATTTTCCGAGGAGATAAAAACCATCGCTCCTAAGAAAATCCTTCACTTCTTGCCCCTGACGCGTCTAGGTAGCGAATTCTGAAAAAAGGGCGAGCACAATAGATCTATGTTGGTCGCAGTGCTACAGGTGCTATAGGGACCTCACAATAGCCCAAACAATCCAATAAAAAAATACTAATGACCGGATTATATTGTGGGGTGAAATTTAAACGGAAGTGGCGATGTCCTCCCGCCTTCTGGCGCCGTTCATGTGTAACTTTTGACGTTGCGTGCACGCATGCGGAAAGTTCGGTGTAAGATAACAGGTTGGTTGATAATGTCCTTTGTCAAAAGTATTTAAATATATAGTAATAAAAAAATAAACCAGTCATCGAGTATGGTACTACCTCTTAAGTTAGGATAAGTTAATGTATTTTTTTTCTTATATGATATAAATGCTTAGCTTAATCAAAAGTATAGAGCTTACTTATTCTAAATACAGCTAAAAAAAAAGTAATAAAAAAAAACCAGTCCCCAAGTTTGATACTACCTTTTAAGTTAGGATAACTTAATGTAAACATTTTTTTGTATTAAAATTCTCTAGCTTAGATTTTAGAATTAAAGTTAGTTTCAGGAACCCGCCCAAGAAGTTGTCCAGTTACCGGGGCTTGTTGCCGGGGCAAAGGGGCTCCCCCCAGGCCCCAACCTTCACTAGGAAGGTGCAGAAAACCAGTGTCAGTCTAGATGTCTAAATCTAGGAAAGTAGAGATGAGGCTAGAATGCATACCTATATTTTATTTCACTTTACATAGATACTTCGTATAAATCAGAATGAAATGAAAATATATACGGAATCTTAAAAATAAACACAATAGCTTTAATTATTATTAAATTTCATGTGATATTGCAAACATGTAATCCATAAACTTTAAAGAAGTTATTCATTTATAACTTAATGTACCTGTATTAAAGCGAAAACCCTCTGTTTCCACTAATAAATCACAAAAACTCATAAAAATCAAATATGAATCACTGAACAATGTTTATATACACACAAATATTGTTTAATCAACACAACAGTTTTATTTATTCGTATTATAAAGTTTTAGTAACGGAAGTCGCGCTCCACGTGAACAGCGGGGTCAGTGCGTGACTAGTTAAGTCGAGCTTTGGACGGCAACTGTGGCGGCGCGGCGTGGTGGCGCTGCCCGCCGGCTGTGGTGAACTGGTGAGCGGGTGATTGTGGGGTGAGGCCGCCACGGGCCGCTGCACCACCGTCCCTGCTACACGTTATGTTGGTCAACTCGAGGGTAGTATTACAGTTTATTGTGTAAGTTATATTTTTGTACCATGCTTTAGGTATACTGTTAGTTTTAGCTATGGCGACATTACCATTTCATCATTAGTTATCAGATATGGGACACAGTCAATCATAGGCATCATAATAATAATTGCAACTAAATATGCCTAGTAAGACAAACTCAATATTGTCTACTAAGCACTGCCGTGACTAAACTGTGTTACATCCTCTTTACATTTTCCTATTGTCATTTAGTATATAAGATCAATATTTTTATGTACATTTTGTCAGTCTATTACCTTACATTTTCCTATAGTTATTTAGTATATAAGATCAACATTTTTATGTACATTTTGTCAGTCCATTATCATCTGTAATATACATCGTCTCAACCGACAACATGGTATTATTACCCCGCAACATCAGGCAATTAGAGGCAGTAGTGTGTTCTAGAAATACTTGTACTTGTGAAAGAGTGTGAGTGAAGTCCCCTGATATTTTTAAGAACTTTTAGGAGGCCTGCAATATTTTTTAAGAAGTCTGTCTGGCCTCCACTACACTGATTCTATTTTACGAATGTTGATGTTTGATGAACTGTTATTATATGCATATGATTTCTTAAAATCATCACACCATAACTCTGAACACAGGCACTCTAGTTTTAACTCATGACTCCACGGTAGAAAACGCTCATAAGCTTAACTAAAACACATTCAAGGTGGCGCCACTATATTATAATGTCGTATTAAGATGGCGATAGTATTACTGATAAAACGCGATTCAATAGATCTTAAAATTTATGAATCTTTAATTTATAAATTGAGTGAATAATGTATTTTAACATTTCCAACCAAAGGCTTATATTTCTTTAAACTGTAAATTGAATTCGGTTTTTTCCAACTCAGTGAAAGGGAAAAGGACACAGATCATACAGCCTTATATATTCTTCAATTTATTGTCTTCACAATTCATATCTTTTCAAAAGTTCATAATAGCTACTCAAATATACATTTATATGTTTTTATGTTCTTCAATAAATTCTGGATGGAGCTCAGGATCTCCTTATCATAATATATTTTCAATTGAATTGGTATAGTTTATATATTTCTGCTGACTGATACGGGATTGACTGCTTAGAATTGTCAGTTTCTCAATCAACCACAGATTAAACTAAATAGAAATTAGACATTTTGTTTACGTCAAGTCCACCTATTTGTAAAGTAGTTATTTTGTTTTCATAAAATTAATTATAATCTTCGAATTTAAAATAAAATCTATCATCTTAAAAGAATATCTCGAGTTAAATGTAATGTCATGTCTTGTATTTACATTTTTATATATTGTTTATTGGGTTTAAATGTGCGTGGTTGGTAGATCCAGGTGGTATTTTAACAGTGTAGTATAATGGCTCAGTCAAGTGCAATGAACTCTGTTGAAAAATCTACCGACTTGGACGTGAAGGAGGACCGCGAGGATATAAAGAAGGAGGACATGGTGGCCGTGAAGCCCGAGCCGCATGAGTGCATAGTGTGTGTGACGCACAACCTCGACACATTCAACATATTTAATACTAACACGAACGCATCCGGCATTTCTCTCCACAATTTTCTATCCAAATTCTCCAATTCTGCGTTCGCAGAGTCTCAGACCTGCCCCAAATTCATATGCAAGAGTTGTATCGATCTTATAAACGTATTAGAACAGGCAGAATTGGAGTATATAAAGCTGAAAGAAACATTTGAAGCGATTATTAGCAAAAATCCACTGTTTGATAGTTCTTTGCATCCAATTAGCTTGGAATCCGTTAAAAATGAAGCCATGCGGGACCTGCCTGATGATTCCTTTGATGTTTTTGATGATTTGGATTCAGAAGATGAACCATTGGCTATAACCAAAAAGAAGAGGCATGGGAAGGTGGATAAAAGGAAAAAGAAGATTCCAGGACCTGCTGCCAAACGCAAAACTCGCGCTAAGCAAAATGATGAAAGGTAATTAAATAATACTTTCAACCAATCATTAAAACGGTTACATTTTGTATAACAAACTATTGTATTACTTTCTTTTATTTATTTATTGCATTATCACAAAAATATAAAGCACAAGCATACAGAGTATGGTTGAGTTTTTACAATTTTTTTTGTGACACCCTCAATGGGCATGGCAATATGACACAACATACCTATATTATATATATTTATATACAACAGGACCTCATAATATTATAATTCAAATTTCAAAAATGTCTCCTATACAATATATAATAAATATAAATTACAAAATCTCATTAAAAACTAAAACCTTCCTATTCAAAATTGTTTTTGTGTTATTTTTGACAACCTTGGTTGTCTAGCGGTCTAGCACACCGCTTTACGACCAATGGTCGCGGGTTCGATTCCTCGCATTGTACAAACATTTGTATTCATGAGTATGATTGTTTGTATCAGGGTGTTTTCTATGTATAAAGTATGTTTAAAAAAAAATATATCTGTATATGTATCAGCTATCTAGTACCCGTAACACAAGCTTTAGCTAGCTTAACTTGGGACTAGATGGTGCTGTGTGAATTTTCCTGAGATAATAATTATTATTTTGTGTAATATCCCTGCAATTGGTATAATACTATCAGCAGATGTAACATGTGTTGTTGCAACTAATTAGGTGACTCCAAATGGAATTATCAGTGATTAAATTAAGGGCAATTTATTACTCAGTCAATTGAGATGTCAGTGTAATGAGATAGTTTACTAGTGACTGTTTTTTTTTTTTTATGGGTGATTATGGAATGGTGCACCCGCTTGCGCTAACAGTTTACGCTGGCGGGGCACCAGTGGAGGATGATAGAATGAACACAAGGTCAGGTCAGTTAGCCCATCGTAACAAATTCACCAGAAATTCATCACAATAGTTTCCAGGGGGAACCGCGTGGAGGTCAACCTGACATGGTACATTGCTAGTAATGAGGTCATGAATCCACATTACTACCAATCACCTTCCCCCCTAGTGACTGTTTGAAATTGTGAAGATTGGCCAGCATAAAATTTTTAGTCTATGTGTTATTCTGATGTATCTTATTAATATTATAATTGTGAAGGTTTGTGAGTATGGATCGATGTTTGTTACTCTTTCATGCAAAAACTACTGAAGGAATTTAATGAAACTTTACAATAATATAACTTATAGATCAGAATAACACATTGGCTAAAAATTTCATAGGTGAAGTCGCTGGCACATCTAGTATATTACATTAAGGAGAGATTCTTTAAGAATTTATCCTTAATTTATTAGGTTGTTCGGAAAGTAATTTCGTTTTTTCCTAACTTAGGATTTAATTTTATTTTTTGCACTCAACTTCTATCCGGCAATTTTGAAAATTTTGAAAGAAATTCCCGAAATTTAGTGAACCAGTTCTGGCACTGGCGTACTGTTAACACACCTTCTCCACACACATCGGTCAATTTCTTTCTGGCTTGAACAGCATTTTTACCCTTTCTGTAGTAAAACAGTAACTGTAGTAAGATATGTCGAAAATGCTGCTTATTCCTCTCCATATTTAAAAGGGCACCAATCAAAAACTACTGCGTAGAATTAATTGTAATTTTTCACACACAAGCCTTGCTATATGAGCTCTCAAAGCATATGAAAATTATAGGGCTTAAGTGTGAAGTTGAGTGCAAAATATACAATTAAATCCTAAGTTAGGAAAAAACGAAATTACTTTCCGAACAACCTTATAATATCCTGAATGTCTTCTAATGAATTCTGTAAATGGTAAAAATATACATAAATATAAACTGTATGAAGTAATAAATACAAGTGATCTTCCTTTATAATTTTAATTGGATCTTTGCTTTTCTAAAAACAGTTGTATTAAATAAAAAATGCAAATATGTAATCTTCAGGTTACATGCAATTATGTACAATTCAAAAGTCAAATTACATTATTTTGAATGAAACACAATAGATATGTGCAACTTTCTCTTCTATATGAAGGAAAATTACATATAATATATATTATTTCATGTAATTTCACAGCACAGGTGTTGTGACTGGAGCAGGACACAACTATTTTAATTAAAAATCAAATAATAGTAAAAAATGTGTATATTTCCCAAAAGGGCTCGCGAAAAGGAAAGTAACAACAGATAGTCAAAAGTGATATATAAAAAAAACAGATAACAAAAATACAATGTTTATAAAAATAATGGTAGACTGGCTGCCAGCAATTGGTGTCATTTCTTAAAATTCTCTGGTTGCAGGTAAAAAATTAACAGTAGTACATTATATTTAACTCTTGAATATGAATGATACCGTCTTCTTAGTATTCCATTGATTTATCATGCAGCTGCCGGGTCCATTGTGGGGTAAAGAGGGAAACTCTGAGTAGATTCCGGTACTTGTGATCCATCAGTAGGTTTAAGGGGCTAGTTGCGGTTTCCAGGACTGCATCTGTTGTGTAGGTTTAAAGGATCCATTGACAACATAAGTCAACACTCACTCTCACTGCTCATGATTCTGTCCCTGCCCAGCCAATCAATGTGGCAATATAAGCACTAATAAATCCGACTAATGTGAAGGTAATAACCTTATAATTTCAGCTGGGAATGTGCTGAGTGTTTTGCGAGAGGCACAACTGGAGGCTCGGCTGCAGCCGCCGCACATAAGCTAGCTGTGCATTCACTGGAACAGTCTAACACTGTCCTTAGAGATATGAAGAAGGAAGATACAGATGGGTACTGTGTATTGGAGATCTTTAAAATCTTATTATCATTATTTACTAGCTATTATCCGCGGCTTTGCTCGCATAACTTCATTACTGGCTGGTAGATGGCGCTGAAGTAGCAAAATGTTGATATTTTAATTTTCTGTTTTTTATAAAAAATATTGGTTTTTTAAATGAAAAGTATGTTCCTATGTTCATTGTAATACCTCCAAGAACATGTGTACAAAATTTCATGATGATCGGTTCAGTAGTTTTTGCGTGAAAGTGTAACAAATATCCCTGCTTTGACATTTATAATTGTTAGAGTTCATACACCAAAATAATGGTTTCTACAATTTTTGCCTGTCTGTCTGTTTGTTCCGGCTAATCTCTGAAATGGCTGAATCGATTTTGACCCTAAGTTACTCCTTAATAAAAGAGTAACTTAGGATACTTTTATTTTAGAAATATAACATTAAATTCCACGCGGACGAAGCGCGAGTGCTGCTAGTTGTAAATATTTTTTCAATCCAATTGTAAAATATTAAATAATTTTACAGTTTGATATTTTGTACTAAGTGTAATTATTGTAAATTTTGGTACTATTTAGGACTGCAGATCCTTCTAGTACATTCACGGATGATTCATTCTTCGTTAGTTAGTGTTGGATGTATAATAATGTGGATATTGCTTCTCATTTCAGTTCACAAAATGGCTTTGAGAATATACTAAAAATTGAATTTGATGATATCAATGACAATGATGACAGCTCCAATTTTATGCCGGACATCGAGCCGAGCAGCGAGGAAAATCATAGCAAACGAAAAGTTATAGTGGGCAGATGTCTTAAAACCAAAGGTGCACAGAGGAAGCCCAAGAAGAAAGAAGCTAAAACGTTACATCAGTGTGATGAATGTGATGCTAAGTACTCCTCATTGGGTAAGATGCGCAGAATTATATATTCATTGTGTTTACATAACTTTATTTTTTATTAACTTAATGAAATTTATAAAATAAACGTAGGCTATGTTACTCCATATAACATTAACTATCTGCTACTGAAAATCCCGATAAAATAATAAGTAAAAAATACAAACAGACAGACAAACAAACAAAAAACATAATTAAAATTTTTTTTATGTAAATACCATATATACTACATCCGCAGCCATCACCCATACGCGGTCGATCCGCTACATCCGCGGTCATCACCCACACGCGGCAGTCCACCTATTACATGTGCATTTAGTTAAAAGCTGTTCATTTGAAATTGCTAATGAACACTTAATTTTTTTTTATTTGTATAGAAATAGAAATAATCTTAATTCAAATAAACTCATTACAAGCACTTTTGAATAGTCATATTTTGATTCGACCACTCATTCGAAATGCAGATTCATCACAAGAAGAACGAGCAAGAAACTTGTGTGTTGCTCTTTTTAATATATGTTTTTTTATATAAATAATTACTGTAATTATATCAAGTAAGAGGCATGCGATAATTAACATAGAAATCGCTACGCACTCATTATTAATGTAATCAGATAATATTGTCAGTGCTATGGATTTAAAGTTTTTCTATAAAAACATTGTTATCGTTAACGAATTCTTCAATTTTGTATAGATGAAGTTGAACAATCTCAAGTTAAATAACTCATGTTACATGATTTAATGTGATGGTGGTTGTTGTAGCGCGGCTGAAGCAGCACAAGCAGAAGCACGATGGCTCGAAGCCGCCGTACATATGCGAGGTGTGCGGAGCACACTACAAACACAAGCGCGCCTGCGACATACACATCGCACTACACAAAGGTGCGACATACTGTTATTGTTGAGTTCTTTTGGGTCGATATAGGCTACATAATTAATATGTATGTTGTAGTGCAGAATTAGTTTTATTTGTAATTATATATACATATTTTTTAATTATAATTATGTCAAAACGGTTAAATTTTTACAGCAAAGAAATGAAAAACTAAATTATTACGAATTTAATTAAATTAATTTCAATTAAATGAATAATTGTTTAATTTATTGAATGTCAATTTCGTTATACTAATTTGATTATATATTCTATATTAAATTAGAAGACATAAATATTATTTTTATTCAATATATTAAGTATGTATTTTTTTTTGTGGTGACTTCTGGTGGTGGTTGTAAAAGAAGATGTTGCGCTGTGACGTTCTGAGTGGTATCATATGACATTACAGGTATCAGCGATTGGAAATGTGAGGAGTGCAACAAATTGTTTCCGTCGAAGGGCGCGCTGCAGAGGCATAACAACATTCACACGGGGAAACTGAACTACCAGGTGAGTTCGGGAGTCGCGGTGCTGCGAATCCGTACGGACGCGAGCCTGACGGGGTGGTAACGGGCGCGTTGGTTTGCAGTGCGACCTGTGCGGGAAGTCGTTCATCCACACGTCGTCGTTCAAGATGCACAAGCTGTCGCACTCGGGCGTGAAGCCGCACGCCTGCGACGTGTGCGGGCTCGCGCTCATGACGCGCTCCCATCTCAAGCGGCACAAGCGGGTGCACTCCGGGGAGAAGCGGCACGAGTGCGCGCTCTGCGGCAAGAGGTTCTCAGAGCGATACAACCTCGCCGCGCACCTCCGCAGCCACGACCACGCGCCGCCGCCGCCGCTGCCGCGCCGCAGGCTCTTCCGCTGCGGGTTCTGTCCCGACCGGTTCGAGCGCAGGTACACCCGACTCCTTCTCTGCTAAATTACTGTCAAAACGTGTATTTATGTGTATGTAAACAAGTAGGTGAGTATTAAGAAAATTGAGCTGTATCTTGCCGACGAACCGTTCTGCAGTTTGGCGAGTCGGTGTTTAAAAATAAATATAGTTATGTTTAATAAAAAAGGTACATGCTGGAGCGGCACACGACGGTGGTGCACGGACGCGCACTGGAGCGTCCGCCGCCCACGCCGCGGAACACCATGAGCAAACTACTCAAGGCGCAGGCGCAGGCCGCGCGACCCACACACGCAGCCTCGCCCGCACGGACACCAGGTACACACCATGACTACCACACCATGACTACAACACCATGAGCAAACTACTCAAGGCGCAGGCGCAGGCCGCGCGACCCACACACGCAGCCTCGCCCGCACGGACACCAGGTACACACCATGACTACCACACCATGAGTATAACACCAGGTACACACATCCGCGAACATCACACGCAGCCGCTCTCCACATCCATGGACAGCACCACACGCAACGCCCATTACATCCACTTTTCTTTGCTTTGCTTTTTTTGAATGATATGAGGGTAAAGAAGTCTAGATGATGATTACATCATCGATAGTTTAACACGAATGGCAATCCTCATATTGTCTTTGCTAAAAAAATAATACATTAATTTGAAAAAAAAAAATGTTTACGTAATCACGGGGGGAGGGGGGGGGTAAATAATTGTAATAATTCTGCTTACGTAATATTACTAAAACGGCCCCTAATAGTGCGTATGTTCCCCATCATTTCACTTTCTCTTAAATAAAAAAAATTACTATTACACGTTACAATAATATTTTTCTTGAAATGATTCCTACAGACGGCGACTCAAAAGATGTACGCAACACAGAATCTCGCAACACGTCGGCAGCATCACAAAAGTTACTCGCGCAACTCAGTAAGTTTATAATCTACTATCCTTACTATATAATAATAATAATAATCATTTCAGAACAATTCACACAGCGCTATCTAGACCCAAATTAAGCTAAAATTTCTGTTATGGGTACTAGACAACTTTTTCACGGTTTTTAGTATATAGAAAACACCCAGATCAATACAAACAGTCATACGCATGCATACAAATATTAGCACCGTGCGAGGAATCGAACCCGCGACCATCAGATAGTAAATCATTAGACCACCGAGGCTGTATGGGATGTTGTTGTATGTTGGGGGTGTTGTTATAAATTGTGGATGTTGTTGTAATTTGGAGGTGTTGTATGTTGTGAATGTTGTTGAAAGTTGGGAGTGTTGTTGTAAATTGGGTGTGTTGTTATAAATTGTGGGTGTTGTTGTAAATTATGAATTTTATTGTAAGTTGTGGGTGTCGTTGTAAGTTGCGTGTGGTTGTAGCGGCGTCGTCGTCGACGTCGATGTCGGCCAGCAGCACGTGGTCGGGCGCGTACGCGGAGTTCAACCTGCGCGGGGAGTTCCCGCAGTGACGTCACGCCGCCGCCTCCCCCCCCTAGCACGCGCCGCCCGCCGCCCCGCACTATGCCGCGCCGCCCGGCCGCGGCCAACACACTTAAACGCAGCCTGCGGTTCATAGCCCGCTCACGGGAAAGACACGGTCACCACAATAGTGAACATAAGTTCATGTACATGTGTAATATTATTTGTAAATTAACACGTTAATCGTCACGATATCAGAAAAAATTTCACATCGGCTATAGTAACTTTATTAGATAATTTAGTTAAAAATGTGTCACAGTTTTTTTTTGCCATAACTCCCGGATATATTCTATTTTTTATGTCACACATATATGACTAACATGAACCTATATTAAAACTTTTTCTCGACAAGCCCTGACACGGCTTGTCGAGAAAAAGTTTTATAAGTCTGACGCGTCCAAACAAGATACAGGTCGCCGTCCCCGACGAACAAAATCGTAATAGGAACATGACAATTTTACAGGAGCAAATAAAAACTGAATATCTTGAAAACTATCAAGACTAAAAAGAAGATCTGTTCTATCAAAAATAGGGAATATTTTTTTGCACGAGATTTTTGCAAAATTTTTACTATAAATTCTCTTATCACTAAGAAAATTGTGAAAATGTCCATTACTGAAATAAGCTATGAAAAAAAATATCTCTAACTAACTTTACGAAACTGTTCAACTGTAATCACAAATCGGTGTTGCTATAGTAATCATTCATTATGATATTGTTTAGAAATTTAGAAATAATCTTTATTCAAATAAACTCATTACAAGCACTTTTGAGTAGTCATATTTTGATTCTACCGCTCATTCGGAATGCAGATTCGTCACAAGAAGAACGAGCAAGAAACTTGTGTTACTCTTTTTAATAGATGTTTTTTTTTATATAAATAATTACAGTATAACAATTAAGAGGCATGCGATAATCAACATAGAAGTCGCTACGCACTCATTATTAATGTAATCAGATAATATTGTCAGTGCTATGGATTTAAAGTTTTTCTATAAAAACATTATTATCGTTAACGAATTCTTCAATTTTATAGTAAGCTTTTTTGCAAAGGAACTGTTTTATTTGACATTTAAATCTTTTTTCTGGCAGATTTATAACAGACTCTGGTATTTTATTGTAAAACCTTACGCAATTTTCATAAAACGAATTACTAACTTTAGCCAAACGACATTTAGGTAAAATCAGTTTGTTATTGTTACGTAAGCTTTTATTGGTGCATCACTATTTTGAAACTGTCTATATTTTTCCTGGTATACATGATATTTTCATAATTGTAAAAGTGATGTAACTTACATGCTTATATGAAGATATTTTTTAGGTGCTATGATGGTAATAGCCACTTACTTTAAAATGTTGACTCTTGAGATTTGGTAATAAGTGTTTGCGTTATTGATCGTGTACATTTTTCACTTATGTTACCGTTGAACGAAAACATAAGGATCATTATTGAATGAGTAAATCAAAAGTATTCATCGCCCGATCATAAAATATATCTCAATGATGTAATAGGGTGTGTTCTACACACACCATAGTGTTTGTCAGGGACGGCGCAGTATTGACCTGTTGTTTTGAACACAGCGCCATCTACCAAATCGCGTACATCAGACATATCAGTGTGCTGCGAGGGTGGGTGCATCACCCAGAAATATTAGAGCAAATTCAGCTATGGGTACCCAATGGCTACGTGGGCGCGCGCCGTCATCCCGTTTTATTCAGTATTCCGGTAGCCAGGACCAATTTACTAAAATATTCACCTGTAACCCGTGCTTTAGAGATACTAAACAATATCAGAAATGATATTGATATTTTTGATTGTAGTCTGCCGAAGATCACAGAAGCCATTCAAAAGTATCTAGAAGTTTTATAATGTTTATATTATGTAATAAAATATGTTATGTTATAAATTGATATATACATATATGAATGTATACTGTACTAAGTTGCGACACCGATTTGGATATACTGTAATGGTGTTGTAATATTGAAATGAATAAATAAATAAAATATATGTCTGAAGTGAGTCATGTAGAACTTAGCGTCAGACACATATGACTGACATGGCGATTAACGTGTTAAAATTTCCATACAAATCAAACGCATTTATCCATATATTAATTTTAGACAGTTATATACGCCAGTATTTTTTTTAATTACAAATGGACAGGTAAGGAACTCGGCAGTTGCGCTTTTTTTTAATGTCTGTTAACAAATAAATTTATGCTTTTGTAATATACATGTATTATGTATGTTTATACATATCGCATCTTTAATACGATAATGGATTAATTGGAAAATTTATAATTTCTCGAAAATCGACTTTATTATTGTAAATTTAAAGTCTAGTTCCGAAAATCAATAATTTTTGAAATAATGCAGTATTATGCGTGTTATATGTACATGTTATATTTTTCTATTTTAACATCTGTGCCATTTCTACAATCGTTTACTTTGTTTTTTTTTTATTGAACATCACATTTTTACTTTTCTCATTAGTGACATTTTACTAAAAAAAATCTCGAATAGTTAATTTATTACTATTTATGTTGTAATTCATAAAATTCAGATATTTATTTTAGTTTAGTTATTATTCTCCAAAAAAATCGGCGCAAAATTTATTATAAACTGGCGTACAGCCAGGAATCGCGTGGAATTTAACTTTATTTTGCAAAATAAAAGATTTTTCTGAAATAAAAGTAACTCCTTATTACATTAGCTACGTACCAAAAACAATGCTGTCAAAATCGGTCTAGCCATTTCAAACATTAGCCGGAACAAACAGGCAAAAATTGTTATTTTGGTGTATGTACCGTATTTATATTCATATGAATTATTTTAATATTACAAACCCCGACAGAAGACAGACACCCCGATTTTATTTTATATGTATAGATTTCTGTAATTCCTCTGTATCGAACCTGCAACAACAAATTAGAGTAACCAACGTAACGACTTACTAAATCTGAAGGGTTTGGTTTTTGGGCGTGTGTGTCATTTTTTATCGGCCTATACACATAGGGTGATCACATTCAGTGACCCCTGATCTGTTCACAAACAGGATATATTTCATCACAGAGAGATATTTCGAATTAAACATACTGTTTAATTAATTAACTAATTTCCATAGTTTTTTTAAGACTGGATCGATCCCATCCACTCGTATCTTAACACGTTAAACGCCACTGTAAAAAAAGCAAATAACTTGTTTTTGTATGAAAAAAAAATTTTTCACGAAAAAAAAACTTTCATGACATCGATAAACGTTAAAACGTATTTATTTTTTAATTTGGCATTGAAATTTTCAAGGTGAATAAAGAAAATTCATGTCGGTCAGCAGTGACCACCCTGGCGCTGTGGGACAAAAAATACATTTTGTATTCGCGTGCGCCGCGAGCTCATGATACAGTATTGTTGTCACACGGTCAATATAGTACTACAAATGTAGGAAAAAATCACGCGCCGGCCCTCAATACATCTCTAAAGTGAGGTCTCGGGTGACCTACGCGGCGCAGATCCAGACATTACGAGGTCACCTGTGACCTACATGGCATTTGACGTGTTAAAGCACTAGTCGATGATAGAACCCCTGGCGGCGGACCTGGAGTTGGTCTTTAGCTGCGCTTTAAGTCTTTCCGGTGAAGCTGTGAAGGCTACTGCTAACAGTAATAAAATAGTTGGAAAAGAAAAAAATCTGCTCCAGATCTCTATGTTCACCGTTCAATAATTTATATATTGGTCTAATTCCAATTGTAAAATATATTGTCTCTGGTTTGCGTGCTCTGGATAAACTTATATGCATCGTGTTGCGTAAGGCATCTTGTATAGTGTGCAATGTAATTCACTGAACAATTACAAAGAGCAAAATTATTTACGTTTTATTTTTATTTACAAATAAATTTATTACTTAAAATTAAATATTAATTATCTAGGTATATAATGTAAATATTATTATAATTATTTCGTAAGCGACAACCCTGGAGGCTTGATTATGCAATGGTTTCTTTCTCGAACAGTTAATATGCATCTTTCGCAATTGAAACTGTCAAATCATTTTATACGTAATCGCAACGTTTTTTAACCTGTATAAGAAACAATCAATCAAGCCCCTAATTACATCACATGGAATTTCTTGTATATTTACAAATAGCTAATAATATGTCTAATTAATTAATTATTTTTATTTATTCGCTTTTATATGTTTTAATTCACTCAAAGACACATGCGACGGCGTAAATATTTTTTTTATTTATAATCTATATTAATTATATTACTAACTAGCTGTACGCGTGATTTATCCGTGTGGAATTTTGCAACATTACTTTATTTTTCTAAATTAAAAGTAGCTTAAGTTACTTCTTATTACATCAGCAACCTGCCAATAAAAGCCCCTTAAAAATTGGTCCAGCCATTTCAGATTAGCCGGAACAGACAGACAGACAAAAATTGTATTGCGTCCACCACGATGCACCACATCAACACATCACACATCTCATGTCTACCTCCTGGGATTACAATCGTAATGATCTATTTTTATTCTATAAAATGCATAATACTAGCTGCTTTTACACGATTCGTTCTTTTATACGCAATCAGGAGCGCGCGCGATTTAGTGCGTAATACTAGCTGCTTTTACACCATTCGTTCTTTTATACGCAATCAGGAGCGCGCGCGATTTAGCGCGTAATTCTAGTTGCTTTTACACGATTCGTTCTTTTACACGCAATCTGAACCGCGCGCGATTTAGTGCGTAATACTAGTTGCTTTTACACGATTCGTTCTTTTACACGCAATCTGAACCGCGCGCGATTTAGTGCGTAATACTAGTTGCTTTTACACGATTCGTTCTTTTACACGCAATCTGAACCGCGCGCGATTTAGTGCGTAATACTAGTTGCTTTTACACGATTCGTTCTTTTACACGCAATCTGAACCGCGCGCGATTGAGCGCGGGAAGGATAACGCGCGCAATCGTGAGCGATTGCATTGGACTATTTTCTGTGTTCCTCCGCGTGATAGCGCGTATGTTTCATGTCATTTCACTTAATTTTAACATTTTATTTTATATTTCACCTATTTACCTATGTTAGGTAAAATTATAGGTTTGTCCTTTGCTACCACTGCCCATCAACCGCTTTCTGTTCTTACCTAATTGTTAGCTGGTAGAGAATGCCATATGGCATTAAGCTCGCCAAATTGTACAATTTTATAAGTGCAATAAATGAATAGATTCCACAGATATTATTTTCCAGAAATACGCTTTTCATTAATAACTCTATAATTTTCTCTTTGGTCTATAATCAGACGTCCGCCATTTTGAATTATAATTAATTATTACAAATGGCGCTAAATCACGCACGATTGTAGACGCGGGAATGAGAGAGCTGACGGCGGGCGTAGTCTTTCTCTTGGTCTACGTTTACATTCATTCCTGAGTGAAAGAAAGAAAGAAAAATATATTTATTTGACGCATATAAAACATTCTTATCAAACATATAACTTACGTGTAAAAACAGCTCCTGATTTAATTTGTAATTTTAACGATGATAAACTGGAGTTAGCCATTGGATGTAAGACAATACGACTCACTATGACTATTGTGTTGTATAAACTATATAAAAATGAAATATTAAGCATCTGTTCCGTACTGCGAATCTCCTTATTCTAAGCAGGTTGTATCACTGGCTTGCTTACTGAAGCAAAGGGCGCTTGGTAATACTGGCCACAAATAAATACATGTGGCCACTTAAATTTCGAAAAAAGAATAAATAAAAGAAAGAAAGAAAATAAGAACTGTAATAAAATGGACGCTCCGTATTTTTAACTATATAATACAAGATAATTAATGATTTAGTTAACATAATATAATTGTTTTTTATGAAAATATACACTCTAGAGTGCGTGGCCACCAAACAGGACGTTCCTGAGTAAAGGTGAGTAAGTTTGGTGTTGCTTACTTCCAGGTCTACTACTACTTCCAGGTCGAAATCGTGTTTCTACTTCCTTATCTATTAATTATTTTCTTTTCAATAAATACAGTCCACTCTCTATTTTATATATTACTTTATTCGTAATCCAACAGCATCCATGTGTATTTGTATGAATTATAAGAAATATCTTGATGAACTTGATCGCTATTTGTCAATATGTAAATTGTTTTAATACTGTTTCCAGAATATTTTTATTTATACAGGGTTTGTGGTAGACTGTATAACAAACAGAAAATCAAAACGCTGAAGTTTACTCAACAGGCGAAGTAGAAAATTGCAAATATTTTTTAAAACCTTTTATAGAAATTCGCGGTAATATTTTTTTTTTATCCTTATAGGAAAGGCAAAGAGTCTAAGCCCATACAGCCGTTGTCTTCCGTATTATTGAGCGGTTATTTAACTAAACAGCGTTGTGACAGTTAGCGTCACAGCATGCTGAGTGTGGGCCTAACTGCCAATTTAAATACGTACAAGTGTAATTTTATGTCGTTTTATTGAATATTTATACATATTTACAATAAATGTCTTTGTCTTTTTTTAAAAATCTTAGAGATAGTTCTAACTTTTTTTTTTGGGATTTGATATTTGATGCTAGTTGAAAGTGTCTTATTTTCTTATCTCTCTTTCTCTTTCTTGTTCTAGTTTTCTGCTCGGTACACACTCTACCACTAACTCTACATAAAATAAAATAATTGTTAGTAATGAAATTATTATAATTTATAATTATTCGTTTAGGAGAGTATATGTTAGAAACGAATATGTATTTTTATACTTATTGACATGTTATTAAGTACCATAATCGTGTAACAGTAGGTGTAACTGTAGACATTCTGTTTCTCTCCAGACTCGACTGAATTGTATTTTATTTTATAAATGGTCGACATTACAGTTATTTGTATCATAATTAAATAAATACACTTGTTTTATAAACATTAACGCTTATCATTTTAACCATAATTGCGACACAGAAAAAAGGAGACCAGACCGATTCCTGCCACCCACTTCGCAACCACTCTATTCCCTATGTCCTCTTAAAAAGCAGGAAGAGTTTTTTCAGAAGGACAAGAGATTTGACCAACGACGCACATAAAGCCAAAGTAGACTTATGGAGGTTAAATCATCCTGCTCCTTTGAACTTTATTCATAATCAGCCGAACACCTGCCGGGCAATGACCTGTAGTGGCCCACTTGGAAATCGCTTATCAGACTGCGAACCTAGATGGGCCGCTGCAGGTACAACTTGGTAAAGTGAGGTGCCGCTTCAAGGTAGGCTTGTGACTGCGGAGCGCCATCCCAGACTACGACCCATCTATTGACCTGTCCTTTGTACCCAACATCCAGCACAATAGAAGACCTAAAAATTGTAACAGAATGCGCAAAAGTCGTCGCAACATTCTGGGGAAAATATATTTCAATATATATATTTAGTTGCCATTGAAACAAAAAAAGAAGACCATATGACTTACCGTTACTTTTTGTTGTCCATGTCTGTGGTAACTTAGTCGTTCTGGAGAACAGGAAAATCAACAGTATTGGCGACAGCTTCTCAGGGACAACAGTGGAGTGTATAATGGTGGGGTTTCAAACCAGTGGTTGTACCTTTAAGCTTCTATAATCTATCCACAGATGTAGTAAAATCCAGTTATAGCCGTATCCGATGTTATATTTCAATTTCAGCTACTGTAACTATACGGGCAACCTTTTTTTCTTTTTTGAATGCGCGATATTATGTGTTTGAGTTCGTCTTCGCCGGCGAGGACGGTGTCGTGTGTGTGTAAAAGTGTGCATATGGCTGCTTACTGTGTAATACACAATTGACACATGCAAATTCACCTCATTACATTTCTCTAGCAAAAAATAAGTGTCCGAGTAGTATTCAATGTGGTTTTATTTAACATCACGGAACTATAAGGAAACTATGAGTGACCAGTGTACTTTACCATCATTGTTATAATATATTACAATTTTAATACACTGTATTATAAAGCATATAAGACGAGAAATCTATTGGAGTGTGGGTGAAAACCAAGGCATTGTTACTTATGGCTATTTTTTTATGTAGGCCTACGCGGACTATGCGACAGAGGAGGATAAGATGAGCTTGAGCTTGAGGTCAGGTCAGTTAGCACATTGTTGCAAAGGGGTCAACAGTCCACATGCCTAACAATCCCCTTCCTCCTCCACCATATTACTATTTTCTTTTTAATTATGATAATGACATAGTTTTCTGCCTGCGCTAACGGTTTACGCTGGCGGGGCACCAGTGGAGGATTATGAGATGAGTATGAGGTGATTTATAACGATGGTTTCCAGGAACGGGAAACGCGTGGAGGTCAACCTGACATGGTACATTTCTAGTAATGGGGTTATGAGTCCACATTACTAACAATCCCCTTCCCCCCTCTCCCCCTGCTATTAATAGGCTATGTCAGTCGACCACTACGTAGACTTTCCTGAAAAATATTGGTGATAATATCTGGTGAATTGGTTACTCGGATCGGATAACTGATCTGACTTCATAAACATGCTATAATCCTCCAGTGGTGCCTCGACAAGGTATACCATTAAGGGTGGCGGTGCACAATTCCATTATCATGTATTAAAAAAATACTATCGTACAAAAAAAAAGTGGCTGGCTGTCACTTTGACATATCACAGGTTATTAAATATGACAGATGGCTGTATAGGCATAATTCGCTTTGCCTTTATTTTATAGGAACCAAAAAAAAAATATATGACAGGTGATATGAAGCGCATGCGCAGCTGTTATTTACTATCCTGTATTATTTGCGGCATCACATTATCATCTACCTAACCTATATCCTAAAAATATTATAAATATCATATTTCTTTACTGAGTTTGTAGAATTATATACGAATTGTTTCTTAAAATGTCACAAAAATATGGTAAAGATCTTGTAATCCGTGACGCGAAAAAGGAAGATATGAAAGCAGTAGCTCAAATGATACAGGTATATTTTTTTTAATATAACCCAAGCAACTTAGGATGTGTTTACTTTAAATTTCTTATTCTTATTTATAATATATATATAAGGTTGATCCGACTTTGTTAAACACCCACTTAACTTAATATCATATATATCATATAATTAATTTTTATTCTTAGTAATTCCTTTTTTTTATTATTTTATTTCATTTTAAGCTTTCTTTTTATTAATAAACTAGCTGTACACGCGAATTCGTCCACGTGGAATTTTACTTTTTTTTCTAAAATAAAAGTACCCTAAGTTAGCCCTTATTGCATTAGCTATCTGCCAAAAAAGTCCCGTCAAAATTGGTCCAGCCATTTCAGAGATTAGCCGGATCAAACAGACAGACGTGATGACACCTGTAGACGAGATAATAATTAGGAATAATAATAATAATTATTATTATTATTCTCTTTAGTAAACTGTGATTAACGTCATTGGTGATACATGTCTCTTTCATCTTATCACATATTGTATATATAATACTCTCCTACTTCTTGTTAGTCCTAAATAACTTAAAATATATATATATAATTTGGTCTGTATTGCATTATTGATTTGTTATTATGTTCCATTTTGCTATTTTGTATTTTGCCTGTTTTTTTTTCATTTGTGCAGGCATTTGGTATATATTACATATTTTTTATTATTTATATTTTTAGTATTTAACGATCTCGCTTATGGACTCGTCTTGATTAATAATTTTCAGGAACTAGCAGATTTTGAAAAAATGCCTAATGGACCCAAATTGTCTGTAAAAGGTTTGTAAAAATGTTAATTTTGTAATAATAATTGATAATAATAATTCCTAATGTTGGTACCGTGTGCGAAATCAAACCCCTGACTATCATAAGTGAAGTAGCGTGCTAAAACACTTGGCCATTGAGGCTGTCAATTGGTTGTATAGTTTTTATTTATGACAATTATGCAATATACTTTTTTTTAATTTTCTTCATTTGTTAAAGTAATGTAAACCTAAATAACGAATATGTAATCTTTATTAATTACTAGCTGTTTCCGCGACTTCGTCCGCGAGTCTTTAACTTTATTTTTCTAAAATAAAAGTAGCCTAAGTTACTCCTTATTGCATCAGCTACCTGCCAAAAAAGTCCCGTCAAAATCGGTCTAGCCATTTCAGAGATTAGCCGGAACAAACAGACAGACAGACAAAAATTGTAAAAAATGTTATTTTGGTGTATGTACCGCATTTATATTCATATGCATGTAGTAAAAAACCGTTATTTCAATATTACAGACACTCCAATTTTATTTATATGTATAGATTTCACCTGTGTATATACTACCTAAAGAGTTATTCAGAGAGGTTCAGGGCTTAATCTTTAGGACCAGCACAGAATAATCTGCGATCTGGTGCTGTATCTATATTATCACCATCATACCCACTATAAAAATATTTAGTTTACCATCGCACCGCTCGCCATCGACAGGGAATTCATCCCCACACGTTAGAACCTAAGTGGTCTCGGACAGTGCGGTTTCAGAGGTGCTTCCTCCCGCGTACACTTAAATTGTGGAATGAACTACCTGCTGAGGTTTTCTCATAGACTATAGCATGGGGTTCTTCAAGAAGGGTACCTATATTAAGGTTTCTTAAGGGTCGGAAACGCGCACGTGACACCCTTAATGTTTCAGGCAGCCATAGGCTATCGTTTACCATCAGATGGATCGTATGTTTGTTTGCCACCATGATTACATAGTATAATGCAAAGTCGCTGTCGCTGTCCGTCCGTATGCTTAAATCTTTAAAACTACGCAACGGATTTTGAAGCGGTTTTTTTAATAGATAGAGTGATTCAAGAGGAAGGTTTATATATATAATACATGTACACCCGTGTGAAGCCGGGGCGAGTAGCTAGTAGTAGTATAAAAAAATGTTGTTCATTAGCTATGGAAGACTAAATATCCTATTGCCACTACAGAATTAGAACATGACGGCTTTGAAAGACAACCACCTGCATTCAGATGCAAGGTTGCTGAGGTGCAAAGTGCGAGGTCATTGGTGGGGTATGCTCTGTACTTCCCAACTTACTCCACTTGGGAGGGCGTGTCCATGATGTTGGAGGACCTGTACGTGCGGCCTGAGGAGCGGCGGCGTGGTGTCGGCAGGAGATTGTTTGATGCTATTGCCAAAGTATAATAATAATCTCAGGACAATTCACACAGCGCCATCTAGACCCAAGTTAAGCTAGCTGAAGCTTGTGTTACGGGTACTAGACAACTGATACAAATACATAGATTATTTTTTCGTAAATACAAACTTCCGATGGTTGCAGGTTCGATTACTCGCACAGTGCAAATATTTGTATTCATGAGTATGATTATTGGTATCAGTCTGGGTGTTTTCTATGTATATTATGTGTTTACAAAAAAAAACTATGTATTTATGTCAGTTCTCTAGTACCCATAAGAAGATCAGCTAACCTTGAGACTAGATGACATTGTGTCATATTCCGAGTGAAATTTTATCTTCTTTATTATTAATGTATATAGAATTTCAATCTAAAAAGAAAGTAGACTCTTTATTAGCTGTCTGCGAGTGATTCCCATCAAAATCTGCCTAGCCGTTTTAGAGATTAGCAAAAATACACAGATAGACAGACAAAAATTTGACTAAGTGTCTTAAAGCTGCGTATTCTGATGAGATACTGGGACTCTGGGACGCATGACTTTTTTTTATACATTATCATATTATTCAATCAATTTACATTCACATAGGAAGCAGTTGCCAGCGGTAGCTCTCGTCTAGACTTCCACGTGCTGGAGTGGAATCCTGCTAGAACATTCTACAATGCTAAAGGTGCTGAGAACCTAACCAAGTCGGAACAGTGGTGCTACTATCGTCTGAGCGGGCAGGCGCTGAAGGACTCCGCCCTCTCCTCCGGAGAGACATGAATAAAAACAATATGTGCTCGAATCATGTATTTTACATAGCAATAGTACAATCTGTACATAATATTTCTGTTATTGTAGCCTTAAGTACTGTGATACAATCTGTGCAAAGTTCGACTGTTTACAAGTCCTATTGTAATTCACTAATTAAACCTAATATGTACAAAGTAATTATTTAATAAATGCCATTTATGCAACTAAACTAGCTCCTCGTTTATCACATCTCATAGAGAGTGATCTCACTATGCATTTAAAACTTTTTCGTTATAAATTATCGTAAGATATTCCTGTCAATTTTGTCCGCCATCTTAATTTCTATCATGGCGGGAAATTGTATGATATCATAAAAGAAAAATGATAATTTGGTCCGCCATTTTAATTTCTGTTATGGCGGGAAAACAGTATGTCAAATGAAGAAAAAAGATACGGAAGACGGCTGTAGGGGCTTAGACTCTTTGCCTTTCGTATAAGGATAAACAAAACTAAAAAAAAATAAATTAACAGCTTGTCGATTGACAGAAAATTATAAAGAGACCATTATGTGATAGAACTCCGCGGCTTGAATTTTACTTAAATAAACCTGTAAGCCGTGGAATGTAAATAGTGTAAAGTAGGCTCAAATTAACTGTTTCAGACCGAACGGTACTGAAAACGCTGTTTGATTACCGCATGTTCACAGAACGCCGTTATTTGCTGCTCAGAGTCTGATATGTGAGCGTACTCTACCTGTCTCACGGTCTGATCTACTAAAATCCAGGCCGTGGGTCTCCAGCTGTTTTCCTAGTTCTTACTCATTGTTAAACTATTTAGCTAACATATATAGGTGTCGATATAAATACTGTTTAATACTTTAATAGCAATATTAGCATATTCCATATTCACAATATTCATCCACAACCAGAGCATTAGCAGATGTATACTCAGTGTTAGTTAACAATAAACGTAATTTTTAACCAACATTTATTTAAAAGGACGACATAAAAGCTTGCTTATTCTTCTATGGGCTAAAAAGGCTTGCTATCCAGAGCCGTAAAAGAGTGCGTTCCGAATGAGCGGTAGAATTAAAATTAAATTAACATATGACTTAAAAATGCTTATATTAAGTTTTTTTAATAAAGATTATTTCTCTTCTATTTGTTGAGGATAAATATTATGAATTAATGTTTTAATATAGTATTAAATATATACTATAGTAAGTAATAGTAGTTTCATTATAGTTTCAGTCGGTACCTACATCTTCCTACGTAGAAATACACATAAAATACAGTTGGTCTTATTTAAAAATATTCGGGTAACATGAAGTTTTAGAATTCTAAAGAAATTTCATTATTCAAATAACTACTATAACCAGTTAAGTACGTTAAATGTGGCGTTCACAATATTTCTGACTACCCCAATCTGGTGTAAGTCGTAAAGATATACTATTATTATTGTCTATAATAATTTAACAGTATTTATTATCATGAACACTAAAAAAATCAATACTGCACCATTTAACTCGTTTCCTTTTGGTTTGGCCTACCAAAAGCAACTTTTTATCAGTCATTTCAAACATTGATTTATTATTTAAGAGGCAACATATTTAAATTGTAGCTTAATGATTGTCAATTAGCATAGTATAGATGCTATTTTGGTTATAAAATTTTATAATATCTTGTGCTCGATATAATGATTGCAATGATCCAACATAATACCTCTTAAGACTCATAAATTAAAACGGCCTGGGGCCTTAGGCTGAGGGAATAAACAATCCATCAACATTATATGTATAATTTTGATACCCAAAATTGGTATTCAGGTTTCTATAGTTTGTATTTAATTAGTCTCCAATACGCGGTATATTTACTTATTTTTAAAATCTCGCTTTTACCACACATTCTTAAACGGGTTTTAACACGAATAATTTTGTGGTAAATAAACGTATTTACCTCTCGTTTCGACTAGGTTGCACTAGCCGTGGTCACGGCCAATGAAGTAACAGCGATTTAAATGAAAAGTGCTGGCAGTTTGTTCAACGTTGTGTGAACAAAAATACATGGCTAGTGCAATTTAGTCGAGAGAGGTAAATAACTTTATTTACCATTAACACCTTAGGCAGCAAGTGTATCTTTTTGTCACACAGTATCTAGAACATTGTCTATCCAAAAGTGTACACATCTTTCTACTTAATAAACACGCCGTGTATCATTTAGGAACACGTTTTCTATACATCTATCACGTAAATGAAAGCCCTGGCCTGTCGCATTTTTGCGATGTAAATAGTCTGGGAATCGGTGATTTTACAAAACAATTATAGTTTTTTTTTTTTAAAACGGTTATATGGTCTGGCTGAAGGTGTTAAATATTCGTGTTAAAACCCGTTTAACTATATTGATTGATTGATTTATTTATTCTATTTAAAACAATTTCTTTTGCACAATAGACAATTTCATATTTTTTTTGTCATGTGCATTTTATCTTAATACTATAAATATACAACTAAGTACAGTCTGATTATTATGGCTAGTCATGCATTTTATATAATACAACATTTTACACTCTAATATAACTAGGATATGGTACAATTTGCCTATATACATGTGTTTACTTATAATGTAAACATAATAATCTATATGTATTTACGATGTCAAAACATTATATTAAATAATGTTTTGGGTCAAACGATTTAGGAAACTGGACTGATTTTTATGCAATAAACATTAAATTCATATGCCCTTGTTGAATGGAGACGAGACAGCATTTCTTGTCTTTGTTGTTTGAGATGACTTTAGACTGTAAAGTCAGCTGTTTATAATCTTCGAATTCTTCTTATAAATTCTTATACCCGCCTTCTAGCTTCATGTTACGCACACTACACTACAAGCAGTAACTTAAATGTATCTTGTATCTTATATGTGAATCACATTATCTTGACCAAAGCTTACAGTGCCGTAACCTGGACACTGGCGATACCACTGGTCCACCAACTCAAAGTCGCTCAACGAGTTATAGAGAGAGCTATGCTTGGAGTTTCTCTGAGGGATCAAATCCGTAACGAAGTAATTCGCCAGAGAACTAAGGTCACCGACTTAGATCTTCGCATGTGTAAGTTGAAGTGGCAGTGGGCTGGTCATATCTTTTGCAGAACAGATGCTCGCTGGAGTAGGCGTGCTCTAGAGTGGAGACTACGAATTGGCAAACGTAGTGTGGGCCCCGCAGCTAGGTGGAGCGACCACATACGCAGGGTTGCGGGTAGTAACTGGATAAGAAGGGCTGAAGATCGTACCCAGTGGCGTACCTTGGGAGAGGCCTATGTCCAGCAGTGGGCTGATGATGATGATGATGATGACCAGAGCTGAGATGTATAGCGTCCATACAAATTTCTAACGCTTTTAAACTGGTCTGTAAGTACAGAATGAGGTTCCATTCGTCATATTTCCAGGGTTTTTCTCTTTATTTATTTAGAAGCCTAAGATCACAATAACATGTTAGCTCCGTAGTGTCTGTTTACATTAAACTCCCTGTTTGTTGTATTGAATATATGTTGTTTTCAGGTTTTGAATTTATGAACAGCTTCGCAACTAGTCACAACTAGATTTCTGAACCAGTGGCTACCGTCCTCCGTGATAGTGCCAGCGCGGCCACTATCTGGCGTAATCTCGTGGCTGTGTGGTGCTGGTGTCTGATGGTATGTGGCGCTACGTGGACGCCATGAGCTTGGCGTGAGCAGTCACGTTGCGCTGGTGGAGAAACCCACTGCCTTCTTCTTCTTCGCCGTTACTGAGGCCGTACTGTGAATATTAATACATTGAAATTAATTTTACAAATAAACATTTATATATATATATATATATATATATATATATATATATATAGTATCTATTCATATAAATAAAATTGGAGTATCTGTTTGTAATATTGAAATAACCGTTTTTTACTACATGCATATGAATATAAATACGGTACATACACCAAAATAACATTATTTACAATTTTTGTCTGTCTGTCTGTTTGTTCCAGCTAATCTCTGAAATGGCTGGACCGATTTTGACGGGATGTTTTTTAGCAGGTAGCTGATATAATAAGGAGTAACTTAGGCTACTTTTATTTTAGACAAATAAAGTTAAATTCCACGCGGACGAAGTCGCAGGTACGGCTAGTTAATATATAAATATGTATACATATAACATTGAGCGATAGTTACCTGCAGTGCGTGCAGGTAGTGTTGCTGCGAGTGGTAGTGTCCTGCTGCGTGCGGGGCGTAGCCCTCGTAGGCGGCGGCAGCGCTCGGCTCGCTCTTGATGTTGAACAGCGGCGCGTTGGAGAACAACGCCGGCGACGACAGCGGCAGCGGGTACTGCGCGTGGTGCGCGGCCGCGTGGTGCGGCGACGCGGCGTGGTGCGGGGCGGCCGCGTGGTGGCCGGCGCCCTCCGGCGTGCCGTGCTCCCGCCCGTGCTTCGACTGCGCGCTGTGGCTCGACATCGATGACGTCAGCGGCAGTGGCACTTCTGATAGACCCGGCTTGCTGTCTGTAATATATGATCAGTACTATTAGGAGTGTGTCCATGCGATTAAATTCCGATGTATATATTCTTAAATATTTTCTATCTCTATTCAGAGACTGTGGTTTTCCCCACATCCAAGTGCGATAGCAATACTTTTAATTTATCATAGTAAATGTAAAGGCATTTATCTGGCATTTATCTGATTAATATGAAAATGAATTATAATTCCAATGACTTGCACATTTTTACCACGCCTGCAGCTATAGTTCTACCATAATCCCAAATTTCGACAAAAATCTACCTATGGTAATTTGCGTTGCGGCTGAGGTCTGCGCTGTGGCTGAGTTCTAACAATGAATAAATAGTTTTCGAGAAAAAAAAGACTATTGATTAATTAATTAGTTGATTGTGCTGTTTGTATCAAAAAGTATGGAATATGCAAGTTTTTACAAGTAAAAGTCGCAAGTAAAGTCAAGCCAACAAGAGTTCTTCACTAAAGCAGTAAATTTTCGTGGACACCGCTTACGAATTGTTAATTCTTTTTCATTTTTTTTTCTCACGCCAACGTGGATCCTCTCGAGTCTCGTGGCTCCCTGAGGGCCCACTTTGGGAACTAAGAGTGTTAATAACAATTACGTCAAACATATACATACCACCATCGATTCCGGGAGAACTGTGACCTTCTTTCTTAGTGATATCTTGATTGGGCTTCGCGGCACTTCCCGACTTTTTTGGTTTTCTTTTTCTAGTTTGAATTCCGTCTTTCCGCATTGCTAGGGGCCTGGAATGATATATGAATTCCATGTTATTCGTGGATTAACTATATATACAGGACGGGCCAACGCCGAAGAGTCGTGGTACAATGCTAGCTCAACCTCGTGACTCCGGGAATGGTGCTCGTAGGTACAGCGTGTGGTTGTTTAGAAGGTAACATACCACATATACAATGCATACATTTCCCTCTGGCGATAGGACGGTCTTTTGAAGTAAGAAACAACAGTATTGAAGTAGGTCATGTACCACAGCGTTTATACTCCAACGCAAAAGGCCCGAAGAAGTCGCGTAAATGTCTCCGCCCTTTGCCCAGGGAAGAAGGGATAAGTAGTGGGTTCCAGAAGGGAACCCGAAGAAATGGGGCCCGCTGGTAAAATGCGCCACCGCCTCCAGAATCATGATGGACTGTGATGGCGTTGGACGAGGGACATCTTGAAGCTTTTTGTGAATAGGAGTCCACGGTCCCGCTTGCTTTCTCCTAGGCGGGTGGGGACGAGGGATTTTCTCCAAGTAAAAGAAAAGGATACGTACCGATTAATGCCATGTAGTTTGTAGTAGAGTCCGCAGGCGTTGCACACAGGTTCACCGTCGTTGTTGCGTCTCCACAGCGTGGTGTTGCGGGAGCCACAGTTGGTGCAGCACTGGCCGTGTCTTCGCGCCGCGCTCTGCAAACGGACACTCGACATGAGCCAAAACGACTCTTTATCATGTCAGAGGCAGAGGCACGTTTTGGTCAAATATTTTCTCTATAATCAAATTTTGGTGTGAGAGAAAATCACTGGATTTTTTACTCATTTGTGCCATCACTTGACATATACACCACGCTATAGCTAGCAGACTATTTTTATCTCAATATATAGATTAACTATGATGTTTTAGCAATTATAACCTATTTAAATGGGAGGACATTACTGTTTTTTTTTACATGTTTGCGAGGGGGCCACCCTTAACCCACCATCGGAACTGCACCTGACTTTCAATAGATAAGTTTCTTAACACAACTGTTTTAATCATCTTAGAAAACTTGGACCGGGAACAAATTGGTCAGTTCCTGGGTGGCGGGCTATTACTAGTCTATTAGAAATTCTACGAGAAACTTAATGGATATAATAACCACTGTCTCACCATTCATCTCATTTATATCACAGATGAGTGGTAGATACGGGCGTCATTTGATGACTTCATGTCCGTGGTGCAGTGACAAAGTGACAAGCTTCCAACATATACACATAAAGATATGTGTATATTATTATGTTGGAAGCTTGTCACTTTTATTAAATGGACCGTAATCTTATTTACAATTTTAATTTATTAATAAGAGCAAGAACAAAAAACAGTGAACAAGTGAACAGAAGTGGAATAATTACATTAGTTCATGCAGAATTATACCAACAACCAGATGTCGCTAATTGAATAAAGCAAATGAAGTATTTAATTTATCGAAACCAAAAAAACACGCGTCTAAAGCAATACCACAACTCATCTACATAATACCTAATACTACAATATTTACATGACATAATATCGAAATAAAACACTAAAGTTAATGTGAATAGTTTAGCGGAGCGTATCCACCCACCACCTGTAATTTGAATTTGAAGTACCTATAGATAAGTGCACCAAAACCAGTTAATTCCATGCACGGCCACAGCTACACAACAGGAATGTAAATGATGCTCCACGAAAGCAATAAACAGACGCGCGTGCTCCACCGACAACTATCTCATATGTACACCATTGTCCAATAATGTAGGAGCGTGTCGCAGCGAGTTGGACCGCTACCGCGACGGCGGCGAGGCGGGGCCGCCTGCCATTGGACGATCCACCTGTCCATGTGCTTGTACCACACGGCGTCTGTGTGCGTGCAGAGATAACTCATTGACAGCATCTCACCAGCTCCACTATCCCGCTCGGCAACTATCCACTCCGGCCACCGTACTCGTAAAGTGGTCTAGCATGCACTATCCGGCCCGTTATCGAGCAATAACCTCAGACGCTGATAAATGAAGCTCGTCTCATTAGGCACGGCTCTTTGTCCGCGACGTAACCCAATTACCGATCGATTAGTTATCTCTGCAAGAAACAAGGGCCTATCTACGCGGAAGAACAAAGCTATTATAATGCTCGGCTATCGAAGTGGGGAGCGGTAGCGTGTAGTTCCCTATCACTCGCCAAAGCCGTAGAAGTTAGGTGCGCGTGCGGGGGTGCGTGCGCGGGCGGGGATTACGGGGTGAAGGGACGGGGGTGGTAATGCATGCACTAGTCTACACGCCACCGACTCACCTTCTTCATGCCCCGGGCCATGCCCTCGACACTCATCCACCTCTGCACGGAGCCTTCCTTATAGAAGCGGGTGAGGAGCTCCGCGTCGGCACCTGTTTAACAAAGCTGGCGTTATTAGGGTGTGGTGGCGGACTCACCAGCCGTTTGCTCGGCTTCACGAGTGGTCGGTTGACGCCGTTGATCTTGTGGTAGAGGCCGCAGGCGTTGCACAAGTAGTGGCCGGTGGAGTCCCGGCGCCACAGCGGGGTGTTGTTGGCGCCGCAGTTGACGCACTCGCGGCCCTCCTCGTACACCTCCAGGACGCCATCTGTCACGCCAAACAATCGTACCATTGCTGCTTTCCTAACATTGTGCAACTTTGAATGCCCCAAGTCTTGCGCGGATATTTTCTTCCCAAAAATCTTAGGTAAATAAATTCTGCATCGGCGTTTCGTTATCATCTCGCTCGCCACAGATTGTTGTATTTAGGTTTGTTTCCAATTATTATAAAAAAGGGCAAAGAATGAGAATAATAAAAGTATCAGAAATATTTATTTATTTATTAACTAGCTACTCGCCCCGGCTTCGTACGAGTGTACATGTATAATATTATACATATAAACCTTACTCTTGAATCACTCTATCTATTAAAAACCGCTTCAAAATCCGTTGCGTAGTTTTAAAGATTTAAGTTACATAGTGACGGACAGATAGCGACAGCGACTTTGTTTCGAAAGGTTAGCATTCAATAATTTTACAGTAGATAGATAGATAGATATATTTCAAAGTAGATAAATAATGGACCCTGTTGGACCTTCAGCAAGAGAGCAGAAGAGAAGAGAGGAGGACGAGTTGTTATATAATTACTAACTGTTGAGCTGGCAAACGTTGTTTTCCCATATAAATTAATAACGCTATAAAAAAATAGGGGTTGGTGATAGAAGGGTGAATATTTAATGATTATTTAGTATTATAGTAATTAGTAGTAAAAGTAGTATTTAATGATTATATAGATTATTTAGTTTTTTTAGTTTATTCAATGACAAATAAAAAAATTTTTTTTTTCGCAAAATATAAAAAAGTAATGATAAAGGTGGACAACCCTTATCACTTAGGGCTATGAAAATTAGATAGTAGCCGATTGTCCAACCTACTGAATATGCATATAAAATTTCATAAAAATCGGTCAAGTTGTTTCAGAGGAGTATGGTAACTAACATTGTAACACGAGAATTTTATATATAAGATAGTATTATATTATATATTTTGGAGTATCAGAAGAAGGTATCTAAGTTTAACTAATCACGATTAAGATAGGTAGATCGTATAGGAACTGTCAAGGGAAATCAATAGTCTCGTAAACCGGTATTATGATAGTACACGTATGAGATATTCGTCATTATCCTCAATATCGAGTAATTTGCAACTCAGACGCCGTACTGTCTAGCGCTGATAACCTGGTTTTTTTTATTTAATTTATGATTAAACTTTGTAGATACATAAATTAGACAGTTTTAAAGCAAGGTATTTAAGACTTTATTTATATATTACCAGCTACCCGTATACATATATTATACATATAAAGTTTCCTCTTGAAACGCACTATCTATTAGTGAAAACTGCATTAAAATCTGTTGCGTAAATCAAAAGATCGAACAGACAATGGCGGTGACTTTCTTTTATACTATATTGGCTACTCGTCCCGGCTTCGTCCATGTGTATATGTATTATACATATATAAACCTTCCTCTAGAATCACTCTATCTATTAAAGAAAACAGCTTTAAAATCCGTTGCGTAGTTTTAAAGATTTAAGCATACATAGGGACGGACAGCGACAGCGACTTTGTTTTATACTATGTAATGATAAAGATTATATTCAAATAACTGTTTACGAAGTATTTTGTTCTCTTTATTTTTGAAGAAAATATTGTATAATTATCTATACATATAAACAAAATTGAAGTGTCTGTTTGTAATATTGAAATAACCGTTTTAAACCATGTAGTAAAAATGCATATGAATATAAATACGGTACATACACCAAAATAATATTTTTTTAAATTTTTATTAGTCTGTCTGTCTGTCTGTTTGTTCCAGCTAATCTCTAAAATGGCTGGATTTTGACTTTTATTGGCAGGTAGCTGATGTAATAAGGAGTAACTTTATTTTAGAAAATAAAGTTAAATTCCACGCGGACGAAGTTGTGGGTTCAGTTAGTCGTAAATAAGAAAATTTAAAGACCTATTGATTGATTGACAATAGTCCTTCGAGTACCCCAGGATTGAGTAACAATGTTGTTATAAAAGTATATAACAATTGATATACAGCTTCCCGTTTCGATAGTGTAACGTTACAGATGTTGGTACTCGTATCTGAAGATCACAATCATCCGGTTATAATATTACATGTACCTATACATTGTTCATAAATATCAAACATAAATTCTAGGAAAGTTCACAATGAACTACATAACAAACTCGCTAATTATCTATACATATAAATAAAATTGGAGTGTCTGTTTGTAATATTGAAATAACCGTTTTTTACTACATGCATAACATTCTTTACAATTTTTGTCTGTCTGTCTGTTTGTTCCGGCTAATCTCCGAAATGGCTGGACCGATTTTGATAGGACTTTTATTGGCAGGCATTTCAGAGATTAGCCGGAACAAACAGACAGACAGACAAAAATTATAAAGAATGTTATGCATGTAGTAAAAAACGGATATTTCTATATTACAAACAGACACTCCAATTTTATTTATATGTATAGATGTATAGCTTAAATTTTATAATGTATTAAGAAAGAATATATAAATGAGACAGATGTAGATATAAAGTTTAAAAGTTTATCTCCTTAAAATTAAACAGCTCGCTTATTCACAACACACTATTAGGCAAGAGAAAGTAGAGTTAGAAGGAAAATTCTAATCCATTACATTTAAAATAAGTAATCATGTTGCTAAGTAACAGTTGATATGTAATGTGCAACTGATCGGAACGAGAATAAATTCATACGTCCAATGAAATGAAATATGAAATTATTTATTTGCGAAATATTAGTACAGTATTATAATTATATGATGTTACATGAAATTGATTGATCAGCAATATTTATACAGGCATGCAAATTACCTGAAGGTGTTTGTGTTACTTAAATATTCTTGGACACTAAAAATTACCAAGTGACAGCCAATTCTTTAGTTTGCGTTTGAAAAACGTATGAGATTCCAGTTCTTTAATCTCTCTTGGAAGATTTTTGTCCAACTATAATTGTAATTGTAACTGCAGTTGTAAGTAGCTTTGACGTGGTCTAGTGTTTTGAGTAGTCATGCTCACTAAAATGTCCAGACTTGTGGCGGCGTGGTGGGCCGGGTCATTGGGCTCCCTAAAATATGGTCGAGCGCAGTGATGGCTGACTCATCCGTCATACTCGTGAACGGGTGCTGCTTGTAGGGACTGGTCTGCTCTAATCACTATGACTGATTTCCTCTTATTAATTGTTTAACCAGTTGGTTATATATTCAATATTTTTTCTATTTGAGTATTTAATTGAATTAGTGCTAATTGGTGGTTTGTATTCACACACTTAAACTTAAAAATGTAAAGTAATAATAAAATTATTTAAAAGAGCAACACGCAAGTTTCTTGCTCGTTCTTCTTGTGATGAGACAGCTTTCCGAACGAGCGGTAGATTAAAAAAAATGTAATGACTATTCAAAAGTGCTTCAATGTAAGTTTATTTGAATAAATGATTTTCTATTCTATTCTATTCTATTCTAATTAGTATTTACTATTTTAACATACTTCATTTTGGTATGATTTTGCTACTATTATACTGTTGTTTACTCATCTGTAAATTGTTTTATATTATATATGTTATTTAAATGTATGTAGAGATGTAGTGTCTTAAATGTAATGGATTAAGGGACCTTGACGACCTCTGACGATCTCGGTGGTCTAGCGGTCAAGCACACCGCTTTACGACCGATGGACGCGGGTTCGATTCCTCGCACGGCACAAACATTTCTATTCATGAGTATGATTGTTTGTATCGGTCTGGGTGTTTTCTATGTATAATATGTATGTATTTACAAAAAAAAATATCTATGTATATGTATCAGTTATCTAGTACCCATAACACAAGCTCTAGCTAGCTTAACTTGGGTCTAGATGGCTCTGTGTGAATTGTCCTGAGGTTATTATTATTATTATTAAGGGACCGTATTAAGAACATTGATTTTAGAAGAAAAAGCCGAATCCATTACATTTAAAATAATAATCATGTTGCTAAGTAACAGTTTATATGTAACGTACAACTGATCGGAACGAGAACAAATTATATGTGCAATCCACTGAATATCTCCATCATATACAGCCAAGCTTAGAGAATACATAATTATAGTATTAAAATAGTATATATTTTAAAATAGAACAATGCAATTCATAACTACACAGAGATTGTTTGAGGAAAATAGAAATACCTACAGACAGTTATATTATTAGCTGTTATCGCGACATCGTACGTATTTTATAATGACTTAACTAAATAAAGAAATATATTTAAAAATCTAACTCGAAAAAGCTAAAGAAAAATTCTTTTCAAGGTTTTAAAATGTCGATATTTCCATACATTCCTTCATCGCTCCTTTCAACCCCTTACAACCCTTTTTCTTTATTTATATTTAATCAACAACCTAAAAATAGGTTTTAAGCTTGTAGCTAAAAAGCTAAAGTATTAATGGCTCTGCTGGTGTATTATACGAAGCCAAAATTAAAGCCTATTACTCACTAAACGATTACTTGAATGACGAGCGTGCATGGCAATAGTTGTTCATGCATGGGATTTTCATTTAATGTTAGACATAGACACCTATATAAATACCTATACATTGTAAATAAACTGGCTTTAAAAAAAAGTAATTCAATTGAGTTTCTTGCCAGTTCTTGTCAATTGGATCTATATACCGAACTGGACGGTAGGGAAAAAAATTATAATGTAAAACTTGACGTTCATAAGCGGCTAAAATGTCCTACATGAATAAATGATTTTTGAATTTGCACCATTACATTATCATCTCGTAAGTACATGGACTGCCTGTATTAAGTTTATTTGTATTTATATAGATTATTTCTATTTGTTATCTGCAATGACGCGGGCCGTGGCGGCGCAGCGTTCTAATTGTGTTATGTGCGTAGTTAGTTATTGATTCCCTGATCGGCGATACACTGCGGTTGGGTTTCTCGCTAATGACAATTTATTAATAAGGATAATATTACATTATTACAGGAAAAGATAAAAGATATTTACAGTTAACTGTAAATATAACGGGCACAGCACAGCACTCGCTGCGCACCACACTACACCACAGTACTCGTGTTATACCTACAGTTTTTATTTTATAGTTTAGAGCCTTCTGAAATCGCCAAATATATTTTTATTATTAACATTTCTTAAGAGATCTGTATTTATATACCATCCTGTATTTATATAGGATGAATAATGAATAATAGGTCCATTCAAAAAATATTTAGTACACTTTTTAAATATTGTTTATATTCTGCTAAGGGTGTATTCAGCAGAATATGCCACCTATATCACATCTAAATATATATAACTCAAAGGTGGCTGACTGACATAGTGATCTATCAACTAACAATATAAGTATCATTGTTTGTATAGGTCTGGGTATTTTCTATGTATAATATGTATATATTTACGAAAAATAAAAATTATCTATGTATTTGTATCAGTTATCTAGTACCCATAACACAAGCTTTAGCTAGCTTAACTTGGGTCTAGATGGCGCTGTGTGAATTGTCTTGAGATTATTATTATTATCAACGCACAGCCCAAACCACTGGACGGATCGGGCTGAAATTTGGCAGGTAGATGTTATGACGTAGGCATCCGCTAAGAAAGGATTTTGATAAATTCCACGCCTAAGGGGATGAAATAGAGGATGAAAGTTTGTATAAATCTTCTAAGATTTTCGACTGATTGAACTGAAATTAAAGATTGGAGCTACTATGATGAAAACGTTCGTTTAAATAGGATTTTGATAAATTCAACCCCCATGGGGGATAAAATAAAGTATGGTGCAGGATGTAAATGTATTAGTTTGAACCTATCAGTACCTAATGGAACGACTAAACTAAGACGAACAAAATAATTTTTAGTTCTTTAGGCTACTTTTATTTTAGAAAAATAAAGTTTTACTTCCACGCGAACGTCGCGGGAACAGCTAGTAATATATAAGCTATGTTTCTAAATTTTGGACCAACTTTATCTATATTAATAATTTTAGCTAATCCTTCACTGAAAAGATTATTGGAAACTAGCTTACCAACTTCGTCTACGTCACACTTACTGGATATTTTTTGTCATTATATTTCACCCAATTTAGATATGTTTCTAACTTTATATGTGAATCTGATGTATGAAATATAAATAAAATCGAATCCCAGTCAAATCGCAGTCATCAGTCTAAGTACTTCATTATTAATCAATCAAATAAAGTCATTAGTCAAATATAAACTCTAAATAAACATTTATGAACATTTTTAAATTTTAATGAAAAGTAGCACAGCAAAACTAAACAAAAATAAAACAACCAGAACAAAATAGAGCTTCTCTTGTAATTGAACAATAAAAATAATTGTTTTATTATGTAACTTGTTAGTTACATAATAAAACAATTATTTTAATGCCAATGAATACAATTAATATACTTTCATATGTATTTAATGAGAAGCGTTAATTTGTAATTAGATTCAAATTCAAATTCATAAATCATTTATTCATGTAGGACATTTTAGTCGCTTATGAACGTCAGTAAAATATTTTACATTATAATTTTAATTTTTCCCTACCGTCCAGTTCAGTATATGGATCCAATTGAGAAGAACTGGCAAGAAGAGGTAAAATTAGACACTTTAATTTTATTATTAGTACTTAGATCTTGAGCACCAAAGCTAAGTTGATATTTGGTTTAAATATAAAATTAACAACAATGACACTATATGTACCTAATGATAATACACTGACTCACTGATATACTTCCAGCAAAATTACTCTATATATTGTATTGGACTTATATTTAACTTCAACATGATTCATTAAGTTGTGGGCAGCCATTATCGGTTATCTACTTAGTACCTATTACTCAGGGGCGGATCGCGAATTTATAGGGCCCTAAGCTACATCTACTTAGGTGCTTACCTAATTATATTACTCAACTAAAAAAATACACCGATCAAAAACAAGGGACCAGAAATTCCCTGTTCATTTCGACGCGCACTTTCATGGTTTGATTGTTCTCAGGATTGCCAACCTTATGATAGGTTTTTTAATCGACCTCGACGACCTCAGTCTATCTGTCTGACGGTCTGTTTGTTCCGGCTAATCTCTGAAATGTCTGGACCGATTTTGACGGGACTTTTTTTGGCAGGTAGCTGATGTAATAAGGAGTAATTTAGGCTACTTTTATTTTATAAAAAAAATTTCTTATAGAAAAATAAAGTTAAATTCCACGCGGACGAAGTCGCGGGTACAGGTAGAATAGAATAGAATAGAATAGAATAGAAAATCATTTATTCAAATAAACTTAATTTAAGCACTTTTGAATAGTCATAACAATTTGTTTTTTATCTACCACTCGTTCGGAAAGCTGTCTCATCACAAGAAGAACGAGCAAGAAACTTGTGTGTTGCTCTTTTAAATAATCCTTGTAAGTTTACATTTACAAGTCGAAACGTGTGAATACAAACTACCAACAAGCACTAATTTTTTGGGTCAAATATAACTAACTAGACACTAGTAGACTAGTAAGTACCTAAAATAGGTTTATACAGATATAACTAAATCATTTTTATACATTTATAACTTCGGGATTACCTAAATGTTTGCAGATAGGTACGATAGGTGCAATCCGCGACTACGTGACGGTTCATGAATGAATAAGGCTGTATAATCAACAGTTTAATAATCCTAGCGGTTTCATATTGATGGATCATACACAAGTTTTTTATGTAGATTTTAATGCATTATGACTCACGGTTGTTTTTGTTTAAAATCTTTCATCACTTGTCAATCAACTAAAGAAACATTCTTCAATGAAATTATTGTTTCGGACTACTCTTATGCTGTCCGCTGGCCTTTACAGCTTCACCGGATGATAGGGAATGAGTGCTGATGGCACTCCAAACCCGGAGACCTTGTGGAGCGGCTGAAGGCCAACTCCCGCCTGACAGATACGACTAGTCTGAGGGCACGGCTATGGGGTCAAACCTCGGCTCGGGTTGTCGTAGTTTCGGTTCAGTTTGAATTAGATGGGCTCGATTGGACAATGTCTGGTCACAAATATCTATATATATAAAACTGAATTCTTATTTACCTTGGTGACGACGTCACGTGTGAAAGGCTCAACGGATTTCCCTTATACTTTATGGTTTGTTTTTGTCAGAAGGTTTATATAAAAGAAAAATTAAGAAAATTGCGCGAAATATTAATTGCAAGTTCTATTCTTAAACGATTAGATAATTCGATAATTCGATAGATTTAGATAATTCGATATTCATAAACGAGAAGATGAGACAAGATATGTCGGGTCAGATAGTATAAAACAAAAGCGTACCAAAATTAAAACTGTAAAAATATATTAGTTATACCAATTATATTATCTGTGGTTATACTATCCGATAACCAATTATCCGTGCTATTTTTTTTTTAATTTCTGTTTGATGTTATTAATAATGTTAATAATAATGTGATTATGACAATAGTTGACAATTTACATATATGAATCTATATGTGGAACAATAATTAGGTTATAGAACATAGTATTATAAAAAAACTGTAACATAGTAAAATGTTTAGCTTCAAATCATATTGTTAAATAGAGTATTTGACTACAACTTCAGCATAGATGACGAACATAAATAAGTAAATATAGTGCATAATAAAAGTAGGATAACTTTATAAAAAATTGTTATTATCCTTATCAAATAAAAAAAAGTAAATATTACTCACCGTAGGCCGGCGGCCGCTGTAGGGCGTCGTAGGGCGCGCACCACGACCCCATCACCATGTTCTGTCCGTACAGGCCGCTCGCGACGGAGCCGACGCCGCCCACGCCGCCGCCACCTGCACCAACATATCACCATTACCATCATCATCATCATCATCATCATCAATATTATTATTATCATAAAAAATATCATTATCATCATCATAATCATTATCATCATCATCAATATTATTATTATCATATTTTTTAAACTTCGCCTATCGAGTGAAATTTTTTGCTAGGTCGTGTGTCTGTTTTTCATTTATTTCTACTTCCAAATAGATTGCTTTGTATGAACTGTTTTCCACTTTCAAGAGTGACATATGCTTGCGAAATTACATGGCATATGAACGCATATGTTAGCTCTCGGGAATGGCAACCCATGATGGATACCATGGTGTCGGATGATAACGTGATAGCAGTGATATTGATTAGAGATACCGGAGATCGTCGCTACATTATATCTTGTGAGCTGTTAGTTGTTTATGAACGTAAACATAAACCATTATACCAAAAAGCACGAAATAGTAGTTTTTTTACAAACTACTTCTTAATAGGTCGTTATTAAGAAGTAGTTTGTAAAAAAACTAACGGTAGACTAGTGGTTTAGCACACCGCTTCACATACGATGCTCGCGGGTTCAATTCCTCGCACGGCGCAAACAATTGTATTCATGAATATGATTGTTCATATCGGTCTGGATAATAATAATGATCGCAGGACAATTCACACAGCGCCGTCTAGACCCAAGTTAAGCTAGCTAAAGCTTGTGCTATGGCTACTAGATAACTAATAAATACATAGATATTTTTTTTTGTAAATACATACATACTATACATAGAAAACACCTAGACCGATACAACCAATCATACTCGTGAATACAAATGTTTGTGCCGTGCGAGGAATCGAACCCGCGACCATCGGACGTAAAGCGGTGTGCTAGACCGCTAGACCACCAAGGTCGTAATCTGTTCACAATCATACAATTATTAATTACAATTTGTTTCAAATTAAAAATGTTACAGCTAGTTACGTAATCACTGATAACGGTTGATAACACTAATCAGGTCACGTGACCGATGAACTTGTGTACATAATTGGTAATGATATGATATAATATATATAGTAGGTATGTAAATGTAGTTAACTAATATCATACATTGTTAATATTGTTGATTTGGAAACATTTTTTTTTACTTTAATGCTGTTGGCCGCAGCTGGCCTTTACAGCTTCACCGGACGATAGGGGGCGAGTGCAGATGGCACTTCAAACCAAGGAAGGACTTATGGAGCGGCTGAAGGCCAACTCCTGCCTGACGGATACGACGCAAGTCTGAGGGCACCGCTAGGGTTTCGGCGTTCAAAATCTCGGCTCAGGCCGTCGTAATATCGATCCCCGTTTGAATTGGACGGGGGATCGATCGGAGGGGGTTAGAAACACCAACTAATCATATCTATATATATATATAACTCCATAACTCCAAAGCACTGAACGGATCGGGCTGAAATTTGGCATGCAAGTAGATGTTATGATGTAGACATCCGTTAAGAAAGGATTTTGATTAATTCTACCCCCAAGGGTATAAAATAGGGGATGAACGTTTGTATGAAACTTTGTCAATTTTAAACCGATCGAGCTGAGATTTTGCATGCATAAAGCTACTATGACGTAGGCATCCCCTAAGAAAGGATTTTGATAAATTCCACCCCTAAGGGGATAAATTAATGCGAGCGTAGCCGCGGGCAAAAGCTAGTCTTATGTTCAAACAGTACAGTACTATCAATCTGTGTAATGTGATCAAATTAAGATAAATATATAATTAGAACAAGTAATCACCGGCTTTGGTTGTCTAGCGCTGTAGCACAGCGCTTTACTTCCGATGGTCGCAGGTTCGATTACTCGCACGGTACAGATATTTGTATTTATGAGTGTGATTGTTTGTATTGTCTGGGTGTTTTCTATGTCAGTTGTCTAGTACCCATAACACAAGCTCTGCTTATCTTGGGACTAGATGGCGTTATGTGAATTACCTAGCGATTTTATATTATTATTAATAAATAGAATGTTAAGGTTATAGAAGATTCATAAACAGACGTACGCTACACAAAATATTTAAATAAATATATATTAAAATGTATGGAAATGGAGACGATGGATGGACCAAAAATAGATGGATGGATTGTGTGAAAGATGAAATGAATAAAAGAAGAGTGTGCTCAGATATGACGGCCGATAGAGAGCAGTGGAAGAGAATGACATACTGCACCGACTCCAGACGTCCCGCGCAAATCGGGACGTCTGTCACGTCCCGATATTCAAGGATCTGCGCAGGACAGCAGTACATTATAAAACAACAACAGTATAAAACAAAGTCGCTGTCGCTATCTGTCCGTCCCTATGTATGCTTAAATATTTAAAACTACGCAACAAATTTTGAAGCGGTTTTTTAATAGATAGAGTGATTCAAGAGGAAGGTTTATATATATAATACATGTAGCGACTACTATAAAAATGCAAAATAATATTTTAAGTTAATATGATTTATGAACAAATAGCGGTTAAGTTAATTATTAATATAACTTGTAGAATATTAAAATAAGGATAACTTTTTAATCTTCTTTTTAATAACTTTTTAATTTTATTTTTTTTTAATTTTCTTTATAGTGCAATAAAGAACAATAAAAAAAATTTGACCGACTGAAGATCTCACAAACTATATCAATGAAGGTATAGGTCAAAAGTTGAGTTACCTTATCTTGTTATTACATTACTTGTTAATCTGTACATCTATACATATAAATAAAATTGTAGTGTCTGTTTGTAATATTGAAATAACCGTTTTTTACTACATGCATACGAATATAAATACGGTACATACAGTAAAATAACATTTTTACAATTTTTGTCTGTCTTACTGTCTGTCTATTTCTTCCGGCTAATCTCAGGAATGGCTGGACCAATTTTGACGTGACATCTTTTAATAGGTAGCTGATGTAATAAGGAGTAACTTAGATTACTTTTATTATAGAAAAATAAAGTAAAATTCCACGCGGACTAAGTCTAAAACAAAGTTCAAGAGTTCACCGTCTCGTTAACTAAATAAATAATCGCAACTAACCTGCTAATAACGCCATATTTTGCAACCAATTTGTCGATAACTTCAACGTATCCATATTTTGTGAGGATTGTATAGATTATAATCGTATTACGAGTCCAATAACACGACTCCACGGTCAGAGGTCACACCACCAACTGGTGTGGTATTGCGGATAACTGGGTGACGCCGGCTACTTTACTCCACTCTTATCATGCTGATTCATGAACCTTCAATAACAATACCTACATAATCATACACTATTTCGCTGGAGGTGAGCATGTAATAAACATTTTAGTTTCCCCGTATAAAAAAGTTAGTAGTTCATTGAACTAAAGAATTTAAATTACCAAAAAAAATTTTTTAAATTGGTTTAATTGGTATTATGTACCGTATTTATATAATAATCTCAGGACAATTCACACAGTGACACACACACACAAGGAAACAAACACATTCATCTAGACCCAAGTAAAGCTAGCTAATTTTTATAATAGATAATAGATAGATAGCTAAGATATTTTTTTTTTTTCGTAAATACATACATAATATACATAGAAAGGGGGGAGGGGATTGTTAGTAATGTAGATTGATAACCCCATTGCTAGCAATGTACCATGTCAGGTCGACCTCCACGCGGTTCCCCCTGGAAACCACCGTGTTAAATTCCTGGTGAATTTGTCACGATGGGCTAACTAACCTGACCTCATGCTCATCTTATCATCCTCCACTGGTGCCCCGCCAGCGTAAACCGTTAGCGCAGGCGGGTGCACCATTCCATTATCATCCACAAAAAAAAAATATACATAGAAAACACCCAGACCGACACAAACAATCATGCTCATGAATACAATTGTTTGTGCCGTGCGAGGAATCGAACCCGCGACTATCGAGGTCGTTTTTATGTAGTAAAAAATATATTCATATGCATGTAGTAAAAAACGGGTATTTCCATAATACAAACAGACAGTACAATTTTATTTATATGTATAGATGTCCTGCTAAGAGTCCTGCATTCAATAGTGGTTACATTGTTATATGTTCTGCTTATATTGCATCGCTTCATTCACTTACTTCCGTCATGAACAAAAATAATATTTTTATTTTTATTTTGTATACAATACAAAACAAGTAACAATGTATTATATACCACTATTGAATGAACACATATTACATCAAAAGTATTGTTAGTGCCTATAGCTCTTTGTTAGGGAAAATACTATATGTGGAAGCGACTGTCTCGTATCTGTATGCTATATTTTTGCAGGCCTTCCATTCCCAGCAGGTTTCACTCAGTTTAAATTTATATTATTTTAGAAATGGCCGCCGTACGGTAAGTTCTGTCCTTGGTAATGGGGGGGGGGGGGGATCAGAAACTAATGGACTCTAATTGAATAACCTGTGCTTGCGATGGTACAGGGTAGATTTTGAACACTCTTGTATAAATTATGTTTTCATTACAATAAATAAAATTATTAAAAAAAAAAACGTCTGTTTTGTTAAAATATCTATGTACTTGTATCGGTTATCTACTACCCGGAACACAAGTTTTAGCTAACTTAACTTGGGACTAGATGGAGCTGTGTGAATTGTGCTGAGATTTAAAAAAAATACTTTTTATTTTTTTAACCTTAAGATTATACAATCAGCATATTTTCCTCCTATCCAATTATGGTTATTATTTCCTATTATTATGCAGTGTAAACTGGAGTGCTTCCTAAGATCGGAACTTAGTCACTATAACATACCAGTGCGTCAGTGGGTTACATTCAAGGCAATGGTCAGTTGAATACACACTACTACTAGTGGAAATACCGGTGAACTTGAGGGAAAAATATCAATGAATTGTGTAGATGTAAATCCAAAGTAGATGTACTGAGGAAGTAAATATGGATTAACAGTTGATACTGCAACGAGTAGGAAATCTAAAATGAAAGTATGCCAACATTTGTAGTGCTTCTGAAAACAGTAGTGTACTCTATTCTATTTCTGAAGCGTATTCGTACACTTACTGCTACGAGAAGGAAATCTAAAACGAAAGTATGCCAACACCTGTAGTGCTTCTGAAAACAGTAGTGTACTCTATTATATTTCTGAAGGGTGTTCGTACACTTACTGCTACGAGAAGTAAATCTAAAATGAAAATATGCCAACACTTGTAGTGCTTCTAAAAACAGTAGAGTACTCATTCTGCTTCTGAAGCGTATTTGTACACTTTTTGCAGATTGTACTTTTATGAAGGTGGGCAGCATGTTGGTGGGGTCCTGGGGCACAAATGCCTGGAAAATCGCGTTGGGTCACGACTCGACTCGTTAAGGGTGATGATGATTTTTGGTAAATTTAAATATATTGTAATTTTTATTAGACAAACGTGACAGGTATAAGTTATAGCATGTATTTTTTATAATTATATAAACTCGTGGGAGGGCTTCGATATTCGCAACACAGTTTTATACTTCTGTGAAAGTCATCGTTTCTGCAATGGTACACATGTTTTCTGTTTGAAATAAATATATATATGACTACTGATATAAATATTTACATTTTTGTGAATACATATATGTATAACACCCAGACCGTACCGTACAATCTAGATAGACATAACCTCAAAATATATATATATATATATATATATATATATATATATATATATATATATATATATATATATATATAAATAGGGACAATAACGGGCCATTGTTCCTTAAACAAACACTTATACAAAATTGATGCTACAAACAGTCCCCTTTGTCGGGTCTGCTTTGAAGCTGAAGAAACGGCGGCTCACGTAATCCTGGAGTGCACGGCAGTGGCCCAACAACGAAAACAAATCCTCGGAACGGTGAGGTCGCTCCGTGAAGCCTGCGAAGACACCAGGAGTCTTCTGCGCTTTTGGGAGGAGCTTGGCTGGCTACTTTAGTAGTCTGGCTCTGCACGCACAACGGCCCGAATGAGAGGCTAATTGCGGAGACTGGAGTCCAACATACATTTACATTTACATTTACAACACCCAGACCGATACAAGCAACCCATGAATACAAATTACTATCGTGCGTGGATTCGAACCCGCGACTATCATAAAGTAAGTGCTAAACCGCTAGACCACCGAGGTATACATAAATTTGTACGAACCATAACTATCGTGGTGGGCAGCATGGTGGTGGTGCCACACGTTCTGGTGGGGCGCGAAGTGGGCGGCATACTGCTGCAGCCGGCCCCCTCCCGACACGTACCCCAGCCCGTACCCCTCCGCGCAGTCGCCGTTACCACCGTACCCCCCACTGGTGGCGCCGCCGCTGCCTCCGAACATCTTGTGGTCACCAAACGGTCACCACTTCAGCATGCTCGAGTCACAGTTATTTCTGAAAAGAAGCATATTCAATCTATAAATACAATATACATAAATTATGTGATTTTTATATACATGTCGTATCTACATGAAGTGGCATGAGAATTGTCGATTAAAAATTTCAAAATTCAAAATATCTTTATTCATGTAGGTCTATTACAGACTCTTATGATATGTCAAATCTACCGGTCAGTCCGGAATGATTTCGAGGTGAGAAGAACTGACAAGAAACTCAGCTCGTATTCATCTATACATATAAATAAAATTGGAGTTTATAATATTAAAATAACCGTTTTTTGCTACATGCATATGAATATATATGTACGGTACATACACCAAAATATTATTTTTTACAGTTTCTGTCTGTTTGTCTGTCTGTTTTGTTCCCGGCAAATCTGTGAAATAGCTGGACCGATTGACTGGACTTTCATTGGCAGGTAGCCGATTTAATAAGGAGTAACTTAGGCTACTTTTATTTTAGAGAACTAAAATTCCACGCGGACGAATCCGCGTGTAACTGGTCATCCATGAATAAGTAACTTAGTATAATCACTGGCATGTCGTGTTACAAAGTGAGCAGGTTCATGCCGGAACAACGAGCTGCATGGCCACAGAATTATCTAATAGATGATACACATAGCTCGGTGACCTTTGACACGACTATATTTGCATGATAATCATTTTCTTCTGATATCAACATTTCGCTGTATGGATGTAATGCGTAGGAATGAGGATAATATTTTAAGAAAGGTGTTACATATGAATGTGGATGGTTATAAGGGTAGAGGAAGGCCGAAAAAGAGATGGATGGACTGTGTGAAAGATGATATGGTGAGAAAGGAAGTAAATAACGCGATGACTGCGAACAGAGATGAATGGAAGAGAAAAAGATATTACGACGACCACAAATAAATGGGATAAGGAAGAAGCAGATGATGATGATGAACATTTCGCTGTATACTACAATGAACGACTACACTTCTCCATTCATCATCGTGAATGATTCAGAAATCATCGTGGTTTTGTTCCGTCTAAAAAAAATTATGACTATTCAAAAGTGCTTAAATTAAGTTTATTTGAATAAATGATTTTCTATTGTACTCTATTGAAATTGTCACAATTTTGACGGCCTCAATGGTATAGCAGTTTGGTACACCGCTTAATTCCAATAGTCGCGGATTCGATTCCTCGCATGGTAAATGTTGTACATGTTTACAATCTATACATATAAATAAAATTGGAGTGTGTAATATTGAAATAATCGTTTTTTACTACATGCATATGAATATAAATATGGTACATACACCAAAATTCTAATCTCTTATCTTAATCAATTCTTATCTTAATCAATTCTAATCTTAATCAAAATTGTCTGTCTGTCTGACGGTCCGTTTGTTCCGGCTAATCTCTGAAATGGCTGGACCGATTTTGATGGGACTTTTTTTGGCAGGTAGCTGATGTAATAAGGAGTAAGTTAGGCTATTTTTATTTTAGAAAATATCCTTTATTTTAGAAAAATAACGGTAAATTCCACAGTTATGTACTATGTCATAAAGTGCAGTTACTTTATGACCTAGTATACAATTTTTTGTCACATCCATGATATGGTCAGACCAAATGTTGACTACAGATCGTATGATGTTACAAGCAACTAAACACGCGACTGATGATATGGGAAAATATTATAAGGAAATATTGTAGCTTAGTTATGTTATTAACCGCTAGCGAGTTATTTACCTGCAGGCAGATAAAACAAAATGCGGTAAACAATGCTAGCCGTATTGCCTTCAAAATGTGTAATCGATCAAGAAAGTACGGTATAATTGAAATAGAAATAGAAATAATCTTTATTCAAATAAACTTAATATAAGCACTTTTGAATAGTCAAGTTTTTTTATTCTACCGCTCATTCGGAATGCAGACTCATCACAAGAAGAATGAGCAAGAAACTTGTGTGTTGCTCTTTTAAATAAATATTGATTTACTTATATTTAATTAACAACAAGGATTAGGCATGCGACAATCAACATAGAAACCGCTACGCACTTTATCTCTGTTCAATCAGATAACATTGTCAGCGCTATGAATTTTAAGTTACATATTTAGTTAATTATTTCGTAACTAGCTGACCCGTGCAGCTTCGTCTGCATTACACCTGATATTTATCATTATATTTCACTCAATATACATAATATCTTTTTAAATTGTACCCCGTCTGTTATTCTGACGTATAAGCTATATTGACAGCCTCGGTGGTCTAGTGGTTCACACCGCTTTACTATCCGATGGTCGCGGGTTCGATTCCTCGCACGGCTCAAACATTTGTATTCATGAGTATAGAATAGAATAGAAAATCATTTATTCAAATAAACTTACATTGAAGCACTTTTGAATAGTTATTACATTTTTTTAATCTACCGCTCGTTCGAAAATCTGTCTCATCACAAGAACGAGCAAGAAACTTGCGTGTTGCTCTTTTAAATAATTTTATTGTTACATTACATTTTTAAGTTTAAGTGCGTGAATACAAACTACCAATTAGCATTAATTCAATTAAATACTCAAATAGAAAAAATATTGAATATATAACCAACTGGTTAAACAATTAGTAAGAGGAAATCATAGTGATTAGAGCAGACCAGTCCCTAGAAGCAGCTCCCGTTCACGAGTATGACGGATGAGCCAGCCATCACTGCGCGCGACCATATTTTAGGGAGCCCAATGACCCGGCCCACCACGCCGCCACAAGTCTGGACATTTTAGTGAGCATGACTACACAAAGGTGTGGTGTTGGAGGAGGATGGAAAGAATTAGCTGGAAGGATAAAGTAAGAAACGAAGAAGTACTACACAGGGTAAAAGAAAAAAGACAAATATTGAACACCATAGAAAATAGACGAGGAAAAATGTTAGGGCACTTGATACGGCACGATGATTTCATGAAAATTATTATTGAGGGGAAAATAGAAGGAAAGAGGGGGAGGGGAAGACCAAGGAATAGCTACATCAAACAAATTGAGGACAAAATGGGAGTCGTGTCGTATCAAGAATTAAAGAGCATGATGGAAGATCGCGGAAAGTGGCAAGAGCTCCACCGACAAGAGCGTAGCTCTTAAATTATGAATGAATGAATGACTACACAAAACACCAGACCACGTCAAAGCTACTTACAATTGCCATCTGATAGTTATAGTATTCACATTTTGCATAAGAATGCGCATACCGTTAGCTCAGGCGTCAGAACCCTTCCATTATCAACCCCCAAAAAAAAAGGGTCAATAGTCCACATTACTAACAATCCCCTCCCCCCCCTCCCACACCCTAACCCCCCCCCCCCCCCTCGCCACTCCCGATTTTTAATTCCCCAAGCATTCGGACATAATTACGTCCTGTATTATCTTATTAAACATTAATTAACAAAGCGTGGAGCTCATTAATGAGGGAATGCGATAAGAAATCTATTAACAATCTGGAAGCCTCTCCAAAACAGATATCGAACCGATTGAAGCAGTATATTAATACATATAATCGTAATATTATACCTACATAATTAACAGCCGACCTTTTAAGTTTAAATTAGACTATTCGCATAAAATCTCTTTTAGGTTTCATTAAAAAATGCTCATTTTTTTTTGTGTGCTCACTAAGTAAGTCTGCCACTGGATTACTGGTACATCACCACTTCATTTCTCTACAGTACTGCGTAAATGAATTATCATAATTATAAATATTTACTTAATTACGGGGGAAAAGTTGATAATTAGTAATGTGGACTGATGATCTTATTGCTAGCAATGTTGCAAACCAGGTTGGTTGGTCAGGTTGACATCCAGCGGTTTCCCTGGAAACCATCGTGATAAATTCATTGTGAATTTGTCACGATGGGCTAACTGGCCTGACCTCATGCTCATCTTATCATCCTCTACTGGTGCCCCGCCAGCGTATACCGTTAGCGCAGGCGGGTGCACGTTATCATACGTAAAAAAAAACTCGCAGTCTGGTGGACGGTCACGATTATTACGAAGCTGTTTGGATAAGTTTGTTCATGTTTTATCTCTTCATTATATTATTTCCAACAATAATACTTTGCTACGTGTAGATATATTCTTTGCTTAATCGTAATTCTTTGAATGTACTATTTATTCATCGATACATATAAATAAAATTGGAGTGTCTGCTTGTAATATTGAAATAACCGTTTTTTACTACATGCATATAAATATAAATACGGTACGTAACACCAAAATAACATTTTTTACCATTTTTGTCTGTCCGTCTATTTGTTCCGGCTAATCTATGAAATGGCTGGACCTATTTGGACGGGGCTTTATTTGGCAGGTAGTTGATGTAATAATGAGTAACTTAGGGGTAACTTACTTTTATTTTAAATAAATGAAGTTAAATTCCACGCGAACGAAGTCGCGAGTACAGCTAGTCTGTAATATACATCGTCTCAACCGACAACATGGTATTATTACCCCGCAACAGTGGAGATACAGTTTTTAAACAGACTTATAAAGTTAAAGTTAAAATTTACACCAAATTTTTCAATTATATATTATTACAATTAAAATGCAATAGTTTTGTAAATCGCGAGCGATTATGATGCACTTATCACACGTGATTACACTACAGATGATAGCACACGTACTCCTAGACATTGTTGCGATACCTTATATACTCAGCAGGCAGGTAAAAGTGTATTCTACACCATTGTAATAACGTTCAATTTAGGAAGTATCTTATATACTGAGGTGGCAGATAAAATTATATTCTACAGCGTTGTAACAAAGTTCAATTTAGTTAGTGTCAAGTAATAGCTGCAGTGACATACTTACCTAATACTAGAATCATACAATCCTTATCGACGTCCTATAATTGTGTCGGCGAGTATGGTGACACTAGTTAATATTACTATATGTTTATTATATTCGAAGAAAATTATTTCAACTTTTTTTATTAGAATATATATTCTACATACATACAAAAATACACTCACACTGAAATAGAAATA